ATTAAATGGATGATTGTAACAACTGTTAGCCGTATACCGAAGCGAATGGAGTTTAAGCGTAACTTTCTGTTTGTCGGATGTCCTGATTATTACGCATTTACAAGGCAAATGTCAAACCTACTGGGTGGGTACTGAGCAAAAGCAACAACAACCACAAGATTTATGGTTGCGGGTTAAATACCTTGACCATCCCTCTGTTAACAAAATCCTTATAATGCGTTGTAATTGTTTGGCGTGAAATTTGTTGTGATTGTATCTGTTGTTACACTATGTTTGTGTGTACGCCCGTTTGATTAAGCAAACCTCAGCGGCTATAATTTTATTAAAAATATGGTTCTGGGTAAAATGTAAATTTATGTTTGGCATTTGTCACGCTAGCACATTTTGAACGCCCATTCATGTTTTAGTAAATGGTTTTTAAATAAATTTTAAATAAGATTCACGGTGGAAGTACAAAATTAGGGCAGAATCTGGTACCGAGGATTGAGAAAATGTGTTTGTTCTCATGCAAACGCCACCGTAAATTGAGTAAAATTTATTTGTGGATGAAGACACGATCACATTTCTCCATCACCAGTTCTCAAACTTTTAGTAATGCTATTAACTTACCAATTTGGATAAAATACATGTATTTAAATTAGGTCTGTAACAATTAAAGAAAAGCTTTACGATTCGCATAAACTACCATATATTAAAAAAAACCATTTTTTTTAAACTACGCTTTATTCGTTTTATTGTTGAAATGGGAAAGTCCGGCAGGAAAAGTTGAAGTTTAAATATATATACAAACAGAAATAATTATTTATTTGGCTATAACTTTGTCAAAAACAACTTTTCACTAAATTGCAATGCCTTCCAGAAATTTAAAAAAAAGGTTATCAAACAGTTATTTGTTCACGTAATTCGGTAAGAATATTTCATAATTAACTTTCAATGGAAATGTTAATGTTTTGATTGGATTTGTTGAATATCAATCATTAATTAGTTAAGACGATAACTATATTCTTTATTTGTTTTCAACTTGTTTTAATAATAAATGAAAATGCGGTTAACATTTTTCAATTGTGTTTTTGATAACTATCGCTGCTCCACTTTCACAATCATTTGGTTTTATTTGATTACAAAAAATAAATAATGAATGTATAAAAAGACATATTGTGTACAAAACAAAAATAAGTCATTTTTACAGAATATTCCATACTTATTTCTTTAGCCATATTTACAGAATAAGCCGTCTGAGGAACAATATGAAAATTTATTGAAAGAAATTATAAATCTATTAAAATTTGAGCATCTTAAACATTTTGGATATACGGGTTTACTTTTACAGAGTTCTGACCATAATTTAGTAGAAGTAAAACTGTCATATGAATAATAAAAATTATAGGAAAATCCTCACAACATCGTAGCTTATTAACACTTTTAGGACATTAGTAACGTTATTGTTTTTTAAAAATTAAACAACTGTAAAAACATTTAGATGCGAGAAAAGGTATATAGTCGTTTAATAGAATACTATATGGTGTTTTTAAATAGTTGCTTCCATTACTTGTTGTTGTTTGTCTTTTGAACAATAATTTGTATTGAATCTGTAATTTCTCGTAAAAATTCATTTTTTATGCTTGTTAACGCTACAAATGTATTTAGATGCTTCCTTTTTAGGTTATTTATATTGCTTTACTTCTATTCTTAATATTAGTTTAATTTTAAATAATAATATTAATGGAAAAAATTGTAATGCTTTTTTCTATTTAGATTTAATAATAAATAATGGCTAAATTTCCGTTAAAAGGCATGTAATGAAGACTCAGAATGGTTGCTACAGCTCATAATAAATATGCGTTCACTATTTTAGTCGCTAGGGATGAAGTTTACTTGGATAGAAACTAAAAACTGCAATGGAGGACACTCCATTATTAAAATGCAGTATGGCCGCGTGGGCTCAATTAATGTCACACTTGCATAAGCAACACGGCGTGATACGACCAAAAATAATAAACCCATTAAATGGACAACTACTCGCAATATGTACATTTGTAATTATATGAATCATGCAAAGTACATATTTATATGTAATCTCGTTGTGAAACTGCCTGAAAATGTAACGAGCTGTAATTTGATTATTTATAGCATGTAATTTTACGCGCTGATTGAATTTTTGTAGATATTTAAAACTTGTTAATGGGTAATCGGAAGTGCTACCGAAGCCATATTTATATGTCCATATGAATTAAACTATACAATTTCATTACAATGCGGAGTTGGCTCCGCCCCAACAAATGTATTGTGAGCAATGACCAATCCCGTCCTAGGTTTTGTACGTATAGACAAGCAAGGGAGCGAGATGTCAGATAGCCATTGTCGTCGTGCCATCCCGCTTCAGTGGTACGAACCCCACTCCACTGGAAATTCCATACCCGTGGCCGAGCCCGTACCCGTCCTACATCTCACATCCCACATTCATTCCATTCTCTCTCTTTTCGAGCCAGTTTGCCGCCCTTCAAGTGCGGCACATCGCTGTTAACCTTCGCTCGCCGAGCACCTAATTATCGCTATGAGCGGCACAATTATGGCCAAATAAGATTGTTATTTATAAACAGATAAATAAATTATTACTTGACTACAATATCCGTTAAGGGGAATAATTCTATAATTAACTTAAGCTTTGACCAGGAGAGATGTTTGGAGTTTTATTGCATTGTCTTTTGCAAGTCGATTGAAGAAGTATTTAATTATTTAATAAGTAATTGACATATTTTAATTATTTAATGAAATGTTTCTACCAAAATACGTATTCGACAGGCTTGTCCTTAAAATAGTTTTTTGTTAGAAAATTTTTGTATTAAAATATTTAATCCGTACAAATGAAAATTATTAAAAAATCATTGACATAAAAAAAATATTTTTTTTTAATTTAATAAAATGTTTGTTCTACATTACGTATCCGACTGGATTGTCAAAGAAATTGTTTTTGGTTTGTTAAGAAAATTATTTCTTAACATTATAAATAACCGAATCAAAATATTTGTTTGGTATTTATTTAGTTGGCATTTTTATATAATTATTTGTTTGTTTATTGTTTATTTAAAATTATTTTTTAGAAATCTGAACAAATTAAAATTTAAAAATATCACTTTATAAAAATAAACATTTGTTTTTGTTCATTAAAACTATTTTTTCAGCCAAAGAAAATAATTTATCTTTGAAAAAAAAAACATTTAAAGTAATTAAAATTCAATTATAGTCTCTAAACTTTTCTTTAATACTGCTTAGCCACTCATTTTCTTTCGCGTTACCCAGATTTCATTAATTTACACTTGGAAATGGAAAGAATGCAGACTCATTAATAGCTAATGCGATTTAATACACCCATCCAGGCAGATTGCGATTTGCTGGTCTATCAGGCGCTCTATTAAAGACAATTATCCATCCTAGTGTTAAATCGACTCTCGCGAAATCGCAGTGCAGCCATATAATACCATAATACCAAAACAGAATAACAAAACACAAAAACACAGGCCCAAACCCACACGTTCGCCGAATGCGGTGGCAATGTGCTTTGGCTTTTACGTTCTGTGGAATCATGGTCGAGTCCCAAGCAGGCAAATTAACTAACAAGATTATGAAAACGTAAAATCAGTAAATCGGTAAAGTGGTTGTAATTTTCTTTTTCAACACCTCTCTCGCATTGGGCCGTTAGCCAGAGCCCCAGAGTCTCGAAGTTGGAGTCTCGAAGTCGAAGTCGTAGCCATGGCCAGAACCAGCTGCCGGGGCGGCTGCTCTTTTGTCCGGAGCAGAGCTGAGCCAACGCCAACATCAACGGCAACTGCAAAGGCAAAGCTAAATAAAACCGACGAGATACTCCCCTGATACACCAAAAAAATCGGGTGGGTTAAATTCACCAAAGATCACAGAAAGAAATCGATTGTGAATGTAATGTTGGGACCTTTGAATCTTTGTCAAATGCAGTCTAATTTAAAATAATTTTTTAATTTTTCTTCTTGCTATAAATTATTAATTTAATTAAAATTAAACCAAACTAAAAAATAAACAAACAAGTTGTAGCTTTAAAAAAAATACGTATACGCTTTATAGTAAAGGTGGTTTTATAATTTTTGGAAGTAGCAATAGAGCCTTGTTGAGCTTGTTCAATATTACTAATAAACTCAAACTGATAAAATAAAATACATTAATTTTTTTTACTTTTTAAAATATTTTAATATTATATCATTGCATGTGGGATAGGACTTACAAAAAAAGCTCTAGACCAATTCTCCAATGTTAAAACATAAGATTCGCTTAAAATCAGCTCATACGAGTACGAGCTTGTGTCTGCGCAGTTGCCGCAACCACCGGAAGTTCATTAAAGTTAGATCTTCTTAAAATTACGTATACGCAAAAAAGCCATAGCTGGTTTTTGAACTTTTGGAAATAGTCGTAGCCATTGCTAGATTTTGAATATCATAAAAAAGGATAGGGCTGCTCTAAGCCCTTTTCCCAGTGCTCAAACTCAAAAGCCCCTTGAAATTGGCACACATTTCTGCCAGTGCATTTGCCGCAACCACCGGCGGGGCATTAGCTCTTCGCCAGAGCGAAATGGAAGTGGAAGTGGGAGCGGAGTGCGGCCTGGTCAGACTGGTTTATTCGTTTAGTAAATCTCAGACTCTTTGCTTTGGCTCTCCTCGCCGCTTTGAAGTTTCGCCGTGGCGAAGAGAGGGGTAGGAGGAGGTGGGAGGTGGGAAAGGGAGAGAGATGAGGGAGAGGGATGATGCATGTTCGCATCGCGGTGATTGGGAGAGAGCACGGGGGCAATGATGTGAGTGATTATATTTTGATTGCATTGCTCACTGTGGTTGGTTGTGCGACGGAGTAGGGAGTTGGGATGGTTAGGGACGCTAAGGGGGAAAGGGACTCAGCGGCATTGCTCACTTAGTACAATAACCGGCACGTCGTCTGCCAGTCTGCTGAAACAGTAATTTTTTGTGTGCCGTGTTCTTCGTTTGTTGTCGTTTGTTTTGTTCCCGCTCTATCGCTATCTTCGCCCCAAGTTTTCGCTCTGTTAGTATGGCTAAAAGTATAGTGGTATAGTATAGTAAAGCCCACTACCACCACTCGTACGTTTATATTCGTATTCAGCTTTTGATGGTAATTTGCCAGGCGGGCAGGGAAAACCTCAGTGAGAGTGCTTTTACAGCCAGTGTCGTCGCAGCCGGAGCTTATAACGAGCGTAGTTCTTGCGCAGAGTTTATTGCCGACAGTTGGCGCGATCTTGTTTGCCGTCGCTTCGTCCATATCTCGTCCGTATCGTCATGTCGTATCGTATACACCAGCGAGCCCCCAAAGGGTGTTTATATGTTCCAGCGACGGCACAAACGTCGGGGTGTGTGCTCTTCCTAAATATCCGGCATTCAGGCAATTAATTTAGGATATTATCAAAAAGGAAATAATATATAATACACAAATATGTAACATTCTGCTGTTATAAAGAAAAGCAAATATTGTGTTACAAAGCCTAAATCCCGCATTCAGGCAATTAATTTAGGCTAATAATATAAAAAAAATTAATGACTACAAGAAAAATTTATGCATTACACAAATATGTAATGTAATTGATTTTGTATAGCAAACATAGTGTTATAACGCCCAAGCAATCCCAAAAATTCTACGGCATACAAAATTTAGGATATTATAAAAACAAATAACAGTATTACGTGTTTAAAAAAAGCGTGTGTCAAGCAACCCAATATAGCCTCCACAAATTTTTAACTCTGTGAGACGAACATTGTGTAATAATGCCCAGGCCCTTGCAAAAATCTTATGGCAAACAAACAACTCGCATCAATACCTACAAAAATCAATTGTAATATGTAACACTGTGATGTGTTGAAATAAAACCAAACACTACACTGTGTAATAATGCCCAGGCCCTCGCGAGAATCGTACGGCGAACAGAAGCCCCCCTATTCGTACATTTCGCTGACGGCCATGGCCATCTGGAGTTCCCCGGAGAAAATGCTGCCGCTGAGCGATATATACAAGTTTATTACGGACCGATTTCCGTACTACCGCAAGAACACCCAGCGCTGGCAGAACTCGCTAAGGCACAACCTGAGCTTCAATGACTGCTTCATCAAGGTGCCCCGACGGCCGGATCGACCCGGAAAAGGAGCCTACTGGGCCTTGCATCCGCAGGCTTTTGACATGTTCGAGAACGGCAGTCTGTTGCGGCGGAGAAAACGCTTCAAGCTGCACAAGAACGACAAAGATCTGTTGAACGAAGAGCTCACTGCCCTGGCCAATCTCAATAGGTTCTTTTTCACCACCCGGAACGGAGGCAGTGCCTCGCATATGTCGCCGCTGGACATGAACAACCCGTCGATGAGGCTGGATCCTCTGCCCAGGAGCACAAATCATATGCCGAACTCAATAGGTCTGCCGCATGCCATGCCAAGCTCCATGGATCACACGAATCTCTCGGACATGGGTCTGTCCAATCTACCCGCCCTGACCACCAGTTCCGACATCGAGGGTCCGTTGAGCCTGCGGCCGAAGAGATCCTTCACGATAGAGAGTCTGATCACGCCCGACAAGCCGGATGTTCAGCCGTCGGAGGACGACGACGACGACGAGGATGACCGCGTGGACATCGATGTGGTGGAGTGCAGCGGCATCAGCCGATATCCCGCCTCCGAGGAGTACGCCTTGTCCGCCAGTCGATCGAGCCGAACGGAGGATCCGCTGCCGCCGATGCACACAATAAATGCCGGAGCCCACGGCGTACCTTTCCTGCACTACGCTGCGGGAGGAACTGGACTGCAGGCCGCGGGGATTCACAACAGCAGCCCCACCACCTACGAACTGGCCATTTCACATCCGCTCTTCATGATGGCGGCGCCCATTGCCAATATGCACAACATTTACTACAACAATGTAACCCTTGTCGCCCCGGCGCAGCAATATCGGACACCCGAGGTCCCCAATAGAATAGACAACGACATGCGTACGATATAGAGATAAGGCAACACTATATGTACTATATAGCATTATTTATGAACGATATATATACATATGTACTATATATCCATCCAAACGTAGTTCCTTTTGTATTAAGGTTAATTGTAATAGGACCAAAACATATGGTATACTTCATTCTTAGGCGTAGAGAAGGCATGTAAATAAAACGCTTGTTATACAAATTTTAATAGCTTGTATTGCCTATCCGTACTAGTAAATTATTTATTTTATTTGTATCAAACCTAGTGCATAAATCGATCATTTTGTGAAGAATATAAACATTTAAATAACTGAAAAATACTAGTGTTTTCGTATTTACACAAATGGTTGAGATCTGGTTACCTTCGATATCGATTTAGTGGTGGATAAAAAAAGAATTAAATAGGCTTATTTTAGTGACCAAATCGAATATGAAAATAAATTTGCAGATGTCTGCAACGCAATTACTTTAACAAGTATTTATTTTACCTTTAATCTAACTTAAACGAGGGAGAAAGCTTACTTTTTAAACTAGTCACGTTTTGATTATCTCTAAACTGTAATGGTCAACAATTACTCTTGCTTCATATAATTATTTATTCAAGCTAAAAAATGATAAAGAGTATTGATAAATCCGTATATTGTTGACCCGAAAGAGAACAACGTACACTTTATTTTAATTAATATTATGTGTTGTTTGAGTAATTGTTATGAACACGTTTAAACCATGGCCCAACTCGCCAAAATTGACCATTTATATATACACAGCAAAAAATAAGGGTTGGAATATTTTATGATGATAGCTTTGAACTGCGCGAAAAACTCTACGTTCAGTATGGCAAATCAACGACTACTGTGGCATACAGTTACATTGATAAATCTTAATATAAGACAAAATACAGTATGAAATACACAAATTTTGAATCCTACAGCTGTAGGATATATTATATTTACAATTTTATTTAAATTTGTCCGATTAGTTCCGTTTGCTAATCATACATGTAATAAGACAATTACGAAAATGACAAGTCTCTAAAGTTTAAACAAAGCTATACCCAAAAAAAACTTATATATTAAAAGTTTTATTTTGATTCTTTCGTGGTATTAATTTAATTCTCATCTTATTAAGTAATTTTCCATATCACATACTTTAAAATGCATGTGACAATAGTCCAACTTCCATGACACTTTTTTTTTAGATGTATATTAACTCGCCTAGTGATGATTATCAAGGAACATATCATTGTTATAGTTTATATAGTTGTCTAAATTTCACAGCGTTGTCAACTTCTGACCATAATTGTAAGTAAACTAGTTCTTTCTGTTGAATAGGTGTGGCAATTAAATATTTTTTAATAACTCTTCACAATTTATGTTTATTCTTAGACTTTAAAATGGCCTATCGAGAAAATTGGGAAACGTACCTTGTACCTTTTATAGAGTAAATATACTATATAAATATTTATTCTTCTCGCTGTTATAGTCATTTATTAATTAGAATACCCTCTTTTCCCGCTAAGTTTTTTTAAAACTTCTCCTTCCTTGTCTATACCTTTAATTATATTAAACTGGTTAACAAATATTTCCATTGGCATCGAAAGGCAATCTGCGTTTATGTTTTTTGTCATGTAGTTCTCTCTGTTAGCCCACAATTATAACCTGATATCCCTAATTTTATAAAAATATTATCACTATAGCCTTTTATTCGGAACACGTCGGTCTTTCCTTTCTTGTTGCTATACACATGTCTGTATTTAACAAGCAAGATGCGTGAAATTTAAAACACTTTCAGGTTATTAACATAAAGGGAGCAATAATAATAAGGAGAAGAGAGAACAAGGCTTAATGAGTACAACAGCTGAGTTTTTGGGCCATGAATACATACATGTACTCAAGCGCTTGAAGGCGTTAAATATTTCTTAGCCTCCTTTTTGGCCATCCTTCTAATCGTTCTTTAACTCGACATTCAAATTGATATTTATCGGAAGAATAATAAGATTATATTGATCATCCATATAAATACAGCTTGAGGCCTTGAACAAAAATAGTTTTGAAAAAAAAGGAGTGAGCAAGTAAGTTGGGAAACCGAAAACTCGCGTTATAAAGTTATCTTCTATTTGTTTCAAACGCTTTGTAATCACAATAACATTTCCAAATTGAATAAATTCTATTGAACTTTTATTTTAAGGATAGGTAAATATTTTTCTAAAATATAAAAATAAACAGTTGATCGGTTTCAACACCAAAGAATAATTCATTCTTTGTGAAATACAGATCCCATACAAAATTAGGTAAAATATTTTAATGGAACGGAGTTTGTATTGCAACTTATCCTTTTGAGTTTAAGTTTAGGTTTGAGATAACTCCATATGGAAGCAAATCAGACATTCGAGAAACCAAAAGGGCAAATAAGCGTGTTCGTGTCTAAAATTTAGAGGTTTAGTCAATATTATCTATGTATTTGTGTTAATAAAAATTTAAGATAAGAACATTTTATTTTAATTTCTTGTTTTAAATTAGGTTGTTTTTCATAAATTGCTCTGATCAGTCGCACCTCTTTAATGTGGTTTAGACCATGACATCGATGCATCCCTTCACTCTTTCAGTTCATATATCATTTTCCATTATCCGAAATATAATTCTTTATAATGGTACCGGCCCGTCGGAAAATAAATACCAGCGTTTTTACCTGCTTTAATTATATTTGCTTTAGTCAAATTAGTAGAAACGGGATATTAGCGGCAACATAAAAGGTGTAGACTAATCTTTACTTTCAACTCCAGCTGCGAGAAAAATTATGCTGTAATAATTAGTTACAAACAAAACAATGTGCTTCAATGTAATAAATGACTTCTTGGATTTGTCATTATTGTTTACCAACATGTTTAGTTTGAAATTCAAATTTGTTGAACATTTTGAAAAATCATTGAACCTTACATAAATTAGGTATTCATTCAAATTATACCAATAATTTTCTTTTCTTTTTGTTTATTAATTTTTTTCGTTTTTAATTATACTAAATAACGCTTTTCGTTGAGGTGAAGTTTATATATAACTAGGAAAAAATTAAAATTTTCTCTTAATTTTAAACTTAATTTTTAAAAGTTAACAGATAGTTCACAATCTTTGGTTTTATCTAGTTGGGTGGTTTTTACACTTTTTACCTAATCAATGTTTTATTTTAAATAAATCAAATACTTTTTCTTCCAAAAAAATAAAATGCACTGAGCTTTATTAATTTTTGTATAACGATGATTCACCGATTTAATTTTTACTTTTATGTATGTTATATATAAATGTTTATTTTTATAATCGAGCTTGTCAAAAGGGATTATTATAAAAGTTATTTGTAAAAGGATATATTTTGTTTGTCCAAGCAGAAATATATTCCGTCAAAAAATTTTAATGAAACTTTAATTTTACTATGTTACTATCGACAATCAAATTTTCAAACATTTTGAAATTGCTAAAATTAAAAAAAAGGAATTAAATGTCATTATTTAGGTAACATAATTCGTAGCGAGGAATTAAGTACAACGTGAACTATAATGTACAAAGTTTTTAGTACCACCACATTTAACCGACTTATTATCGGTTGTTTACAAAATAAAGGTTGTATTCTTAATACTTTGTATTACCCAGATTCATTTGCATAATCGTTCTGGGCCCTTTGAGACATTTGAAACCAGCTATATGAGATCAATTCAGAGAATAAAATTACAGGTAGGATGAAGGGTCCGTGTTGAAATCATAAAATTCGATACACTTAATTTGCCTTCAGAACGACTTTCATGCATATCTACATACTTATGTGGTTTTTGTGCATACATATACCTTGCTTTAAGGCCCCAACTTGTTTTTACAAATAAACAGGATAAGTGAAAATGACTTTTAGTATATTAAAAATGATTTAAAGAGGAAAATTAGTTGTACCCTCAAAAATAAACGCCTTGAATTTCATATAATCGAAGGCATTTTAAAACTTTATATAACAAATACATTTTATTCAAAATAGAAAACTTTTCTTAGTTCTAAATTAAGTTGTCGTTAATATTTCAAACCATTTTTGTATGCCATTTCTAAAAAAAACTTGCTGATTTCTTGTAAAATATATTTGAGTCTTACCTGAATTACGATGCATTCAAATGATATTAAACATTTGAAATAAATGAAAGATCCAGCAAAGACTTAAAATAGATTGCTATGCTTATTGGAGTCAGTTGGCCAAAGCCTCCATACCCCACGCATAAAAGGGTATAGAAAGGTATGCTGGCTTAGACAGTGGCTTTAAATTATCGCCACGGGTGTTCTTCCAGTCGGGTCTTTTAACAGTCGGAAGCCTTTATAGAAATCCATTAACAAAACCATCATGTTTTTTGTTATTGCCGGCACATCAAAGTGGAATTTCAAAGGTTGTGAATACTTAGAGTGATCGGAACGAATAGTAATCGGTACTTTGTCACGAGCCCATCCGTAATCCGTATTTCGGCCGATTCAAATTAGTGTTGTTACGTGTGTTTTTGTGTGCACAAGATGCCTAATGATATTTGTAGCAGTTAAGCGGATATTAATTTGTTTCTGTAAATAAAAGAGTAAAGGCATAATTATCAAAAAGCGCATGGACTACAAAAGAAATACATTTTGGGAATGCTAGAGGTTTATGGATTGTCTTATGATGTGCAATTATTCTCTATATTTCCTTATTGTTTGTAGTTACATTTTTGTGCCTTTTCATTGTGCCCAAAAACAAAGTTTAAAATACTTAATTTGTTATAATTATTTTTGATTTCATTAAAGGCAAATCACATGCATTTTGGGTAAGCTTGCGTTTATGGATATTCTTATGAGGTGCACTGGTATAAAATAGCTTAGTAAAACCAACTATTAGCTTTGAGTTATTTTAAGCATGAACTTATTAAAACTTCTTTCATTTGACTATTGCTTTTAATATCTAAAAATGTAATTCAAGTTTAAATCATATTTCACTTAAATAAAATGGTTTTTAATCAAATAGGAGCCATTTTAAATCTTACATTTTTCACGGTCAATTAACTACTTTAATATTAAATCATGTATTTATTATTATGATTTAATTTTAATTTACATATCAAATATAACATTTTAAATTCGATGGTCAGATATTTATTTTTACTATTCCATTTTTTTATTAGTCTGCAATTACTTTTTCTTTTTAGTCAAATTTATCTGCCTTTCCCATGCGCCCATAAACAAAGTATAAAACTTAACAAATACATAATTTATTAGAACTAATTTTGATTTCATTAAACGCACATACAAATACTGCAGAGTCATCGCCCGGGAAAAGGGGCACGAACTCATAAACAGTAATGATACAATAAATCAACACGGAGCGTAAAACATCACTTCCTAAAAGGATCGTCATGGTGTAGTAGGCGAGCATTAACAAAATGACTGCGGTGTTTGCGATAGGGGATGCTGAATGAATACCTTCCGTCGGTTTTCGCAAACCAAGTCTTATGCCCCGGAGAAGGCTTGAAACGGAAAATTTGCTTTATGGCCCCCATGGATGGCCATAGAAAGCTAATGAGCCGCAATAGCACTTGAGCAGCCCATCGCTATTGTACTTATTACCACAAGTGTCACGTGTCCACTTGATTGAGGTAATTTAGCTGTAGCATTATTTGCTATTTTTTATAAAGAGTTACAAACAGCGGACGTATTTGTTCGAGTTTGAATTATTATCCAATAAAATGCTTTGCACGAAGCAAATGTTTCACGGCAACTTTTCGACGGCTACGCTTAGCAAAGGAATTGAGGAAAATGATTTAAAATTTTGGTCTGTATGTAGTTGGGAGGAATATCTAAATTATAAGAAATTGAAATACACATTTATCCACAATTGTCTTAACAGTTTAACAACCAATTGTCTTAACTCGATTTGAAATTCCTCTGAACAATAAAGTTAATAAATCTCTATTTTTTTTTTATAATTTGCTTAACAAAACAATTGAGGAAAATTATTTAAATTGGTGCTTTGTTGCGATACTGGCACCTTTACTCAAAAATATTGTGTTCACATGTTAGAGGAGTTTGATAAACAATAAGAATATTCGTATTAACACTTAAACAACCAGTTGTCTAAATTGAATTTGAAACTCATCTGACAAAAGTGTTTATAGATTTCCATTTATCTTTAAGATAATAATTCTTTTTCCTTAATTAGTTAAAGGGGATTAAAAATATATAAGAAGTTTATAAATCAAATTCAACAATATTTGCTAAACTAGTTAAAGGAGTTTAATAAAATATAACAATTGTAACTACACATTTAACCACATTCGACTTAACAGTTTAGCAAGCAATTGCATGAGCCCAATTTGCTACTCTGACCAACAATGTTTATAAATCTCTAATTTTCGTTTTTAGATTGCCCATGACGCGGCGTGATGAAAATGTATAAAGTAGGCTTTATCTGACTTTATTAGAGCAGTCCTAAGCCGCTTTGATCGTCTGAAATTCCCATGCGATCGATCTGCTGGACTGTTAAGCCTCGGTGCAGGCATATGTTGAAGTATCTTTCCCCTCCGGCTCCGACTCACTCGCATTCGACTTATCCGTCAGTGGAGCAAAGGCAAAACACACGAGCTGAGTTGAGTGGCAAAGCATCGGCTAAGTAGCTTCAACACCGAAAACTAGTTTCACACACAGACTAACAGACCAACAGACCAACAGACTAACCGACTAGTTTGCACTCGAGCTCGACTCGGGTGTTGATGCTGATTAACCATATTTATACTTAAAAAATTGAAAAGGGTTTTTAAGTGCCTGGGCAGGCAAGTGTTGCCTGTGTTTGAAGATACCCTCTAGTGATTACACCATATTAAACTAGGCGAATAATTGCTGATAGCAGTGGTGTGCCGTTTAATGAATCGCTTATAATTTAAGGCCTGATGACAGAACTTTCCCTTTTGGTTAGTTAAAGATATCCCCACATATTATAGGTGTTATTATTAACTAATTCCGCAAAAAGGTGCAAAGATGCAACACCGAAAAGCAAATGCTTCTAACAGCTTACTTTGTATTTAAGCACGAACTGTGCGAAAAGCACTATCCCCATCACCATCTAAAGGTATTTCTTGATCGACCGAAAAACTGAAAGACTAAAAGACCGGCAAAGGCAAAGGTAAAGTCAGAGGCAGAGGCACTGGAAAAAGAATACAGAATACCGCACCGCCACTCTGTCTCGCAAAGTCAAAAGCGGCATTTTTAAATTGGTAGTCAGATCTCAGTTTCTCGGTTCGTAGAAAGGAGCTCGAGCCCGGGCCATTATGGCTTCCATCGAAGTGATTTTTACTGTGGCTGCTTGTGCTTATGCGCGGCCTGTTTGTTAGCCTGATGTCTGAGCACACCTCTTATTATACTTACCACACCACAGCACCACGACACACACCACACACCTTTGCGAATTATAAACGTCTGTGTATCGCCGGCAACTAGCGGCTGTTCAAATTGCAAAATATACAATGCGTTCCTCCTCCTTCGTCCTCGTCCACACACACGCAAGCTGGGAGAAACACCACCGAGTTTAATTTGATTTCGATTCAGCGTTCAGCGCTTCAGCGGAGGAAGCTGGAATCTCTGGCCTGCCAGGCGGCCTAATCATTTACCCACGTCCACATCCCAGATCCAGCTCCATATCTGCAGACTCCAGAGTCCAGAGTACAAGCCCCTCTGTCATGAATAAGGTTATGATTTAAATTCACAGCGATGGGTGTTGTGTGAATGATATAAGCCAGGCGAAAGAGCTGACGATGTTCATTCTCACCTCGTCGACACTAACGATTGAGCCGACCGATGCCCATTTAATAGGGGCAGTAGGAAATTCGCCTCTGGGCTGCTGCGCTATGTGCCGAGTGCCCTATCCATAGCATCTGTTTTTGCATACCTTATCTGGGAAATAAAAAGGGCTTATATTACCATTTTTTGTTAAGTAGAAGAGGGTAGAAATATTATATAAAAATAGTTCCGAAACATATCAAGTTTTTAACCTTCTTTATTAAAGCAATAATATCATCAACACCTGCATTTACGACCTTTTTTTTATAAATGGAGGTAATCACAAGATATTGAATAAAATTATTCGGCAGATGTATGCATGTACAACTATCATCATCACTACCTTATATGACCTTTTTTGTAAAGAAGAAAAGGCTTAACAAGAGTTATATACAAATAATTTCGAGCCATATAAGTTTGACCTATGGCTAAGTATTAAACCCTTTTTTATTAGAGCAATAATAATAACACAAGCTCTTATGACCTCATTTTTTAAACAAGGGTTATCATAACTCAGGTAATGTACGTATATACAATTTCCAATTAGCACTATAAAGTAACTATCTTCAAAATATATATTTTACTAATCTTGACAAAAAAGAATAAATTAAATATACTGTAAAAGCCATATTTTTTTTCTTGGAAATTATTTAGAAATAAGAAGTGTTTTTTTTCTATTTAAATTTTAGTTTTTAAGTGAAAACATCATATTTTCCATTTTTAAGTAGTTATGTAAAAGTGAAAAGGGATCTGCCAGATTTTAATCTAATCTTTTTTATGACCGATACTTAATAAATTTAACCAATAAAATAAATTAGCGCCATTAAAAACCTCGCAACCTTTCATAGCAGCAAAATTCCAACCGGGCAGGATTCTTTAGCTTTCTTATATTGCAGGTAGAAGCATGAACACTGCACTTAAGCTTTGTCGGGAAGATTCATACGAATATACGTACATACGGGGATACAAGCATACATCCTCGGGGTAAACACAACTCAACTCCTCAAATTAGTGTGTTAGCCTTCAATAAATTGGCGGCCTGTTGTGTTCAAACATTTATTCCTTACGAGTATAAAGCAATACAAAGCAGGCAAAATCCCAACACATAGGAAAAATAAATACTGACGGTTATTATCCCGACACCAACAGAGATCTTGTCTTCGCGTGGAACCTTTTTCGGAACGAACAGTGTTTTAAATCGATATAATACTGCTAAATATGTTATTTGGCCTGTGGAAAAGTTGATAGGAATTATATTAAATATTAAAATAAAAGTAAAGCATAAAGACCTTTTTGCTACCATTATTGCTACGTACAATCGGTTTATATACGACTTTCTACGATATCTCTTTTGATCTTCACCAAAGCAAAACTTCATTAACAAGGCGAGCAACCATAAGACGGAAATAACTAAATTGATTTAGTTTATGGGTCGAACAGCTTTCATCTTAGCGCTGCGAATTTCGGTGTGCTAAAAAAGAGTCGACAGGAAAAAGAGGAGAAAAACTTATCGATTGGTGATTACTGAGTAGTTGTTTTGACTGAAAGGTTTTACACACACAACGATTTCAACAACTTTGCGTTTATGGCCGAGCACATTTTTTCTCTTAGCTTTTACAGCCGATCTTGGCCATTTGGCCATCTGTCGGACTGAATGATGGCATCTTTGACACTAAAAAGACCGCAAATATCGAATTTGTTTCACATGTTTTTGCCACCATCATAATGAAGATCAATAAAGTGTCATTACACATCGTTTATAAATTCCAAATTAATTGTTTTTTTATTATGAAATTATGTTGGATAATTTTCTGCCGGTATTTTTTCACACAGTCGAGCTTTGATTTAAAAATTTGAAAACAAAACACCAACTAATTTTGTTGGAACAAATTGATGCATCAGTTATTTTGTATTTCTTTCGGGAAGGTAATTTTGCGCTGTGGGTAAAAAAAAAATTGCCGTGTTCGAAGAATTCTCAATAATTTTGGCTTTTTAAAATAAATTTAATTTATTATAAAGAACTAAATAAGCTGGAATCTCTGGCCTGCCAGGCGGCCTAATCATTTACCCACGTCCACGTCCACATCCCAGATCCAGCTCCATATCCATAAAATAAATTTAATTTATTATAAAGAACTAAATATATTGACAAAGATTTTTCAAAACAATCAATTTCAACCAAAAATTAGTTTTAAAGTATTTGGTAAAACCATTACAGACACCAAAAACTGGTGAATAAGGGCATTCAACAACTAATAATTTAGTAAGATATTAAAAACAAAGACCGTATAAACACCAGAAATTACTTAAATTGGTAAACTCAATTAAAAAAGCGAGTCTTAAAGTATAAGGGGATTTACTCGTAACATTTTTTTTCAGAAGTTTATAATTCTATTAAGATAATGTATATATTTTTAATCAATTGATTTTGAATTATATCTAGTTTTAAAATATACAGTAGTGCTGAGAAATCTTTTGCAAGTTCTATTAATTTTAGTTTTAAGTGCAGAGGTATATAAACATCTCCATGACAAAAAAATGTAAGATACATAAATGTTTATTTTAATTTGGTTACTGCTTAAAATTTTCTAGGTTACATGGAAGATTGTTTTTTAGAAAGTTCAAAGCTTAAAAAACTAGGTACTGTCTGCTAAGCATTTATAAAAACAGGCTCCCTAATTTATTTGTACTGTTATGTTCAAGTGAAGCTAGTAAAAATGCATGAAAGCGCCAAAACGAATATGTCTATAATTTATTTTTCAATTTCATGCAAAAGCCAAAACAATTTAAATCATTTTGTGAACGGGAGTAATGCGATGGGAAGTGAAATACGAGCGTTTCCTTTATTATTTCACGTTCTGGCACGCCCACAATTCATATAAAATAAACAGGTATTGACAAAAGCTTGCAAATCAAGGGAAAACCCCCGGAATTGTGCTTTTGTGCAGCACGCATGTACTACTATCACTAAGAATTGAAAATGGCGAAGGGAAAAAATGGGGCCTCCGGTTGCTGGGACAAAACGCTTTTCCGCCACGCTTCTGGTTTTAAGCTATACTTTATGGCCGCGATGATTGGTTGGCAACTCCCTGAGCCAACCATTTGGAAATTCGCCGTAAACAACACCTTCGCTTCCGATTGGTGGACAATTTAAAGAAGGACGAGCAGATAACAATAGCAGACTGCCTTCTCCCTCGGAAAACTGGATATACCACCTGGCTATGTATGTTGTATTGCTCAGTTTCTCTCTCTCTCCAATCCAGTCTCTCTCTTCCAGTTCCATAAAACATGAAGTTTTGCTGCCCCACGTATTAGTCCTAACACTGCTGCCGCCGAGAAAACATCGCTCTCTAAAAGTATACAAAAAAAAAAAAAAAAAAAAAAAGGGATTGTGCGGACGGACTGTTTAAACTGGACTGTGTGAAATTTTAAACGACTTGAATTCGCAATGCCACGCCCACTGAAAATGACTTACGGTGATCAGAAGCCCCCATACTCGTACATATCATTAACGGCCATGGCCATTATACATTCGCCGCAAAGATTGCTGCCGCTCAGTGAGATATATCGATTTATTATGGAGCAGTTCCCCTATTACCGGAAAAACACCCAAAAATGGCAGAACTCGTTGCGGCATAATTTGAGTTTCAACGATTGTTTCATCAAAGTGCCACGGAATGTGACAAAAGCCGGAAAGGGATCGTATTGGACGCTCCATCCCATGGCCTTTGATATGTTCGAAAATGGTAGTCTGCTGAGGCGACGCAAGCGTTTCCGTGTCAAACAGCTGGAGAAGGATATATCGAATTGGAAATTAGCCGCCGCCAATACAGAGATGGTCAATCACTATCTGGACGACCAATTGACACAGATGGCTTTTGCCGATCCTTCTAGGATTGCCGGTCATATACCCCCTAGCAACTATGATCTGGGAAATACTTCATCTGCTGCCCAAATTCCTACCTATAAGGCTGTTCCGACGACTGTAACCCAACTTCCAGTCCGTCCAAAACGTGCTTTCACCATCGAAAGTCTCATAGCTCCGGATCCGGAAGGATTAGCGCATATGGATTACGGAAGTCCCTCGGAAGCAAAAAAGCCGCCGCCCCTCAACTTGCCATTTAATTTTAACGACCTCGCCGCGCAGTATCACCTGTACTTTCCAGGTTTTTTATACAACAGCCAATATGGCAATATACCTTGCTACCAGAAAACACCGCCGCTTTTTCATAATGGCCCGTTGCCGGTCTTTTGATACGAAAAGTGTTACCCATAGTTATGCCTAGAGCTGAAAAAACGCTATGTCTAAAAAACAATACTCATTAGTGGTCCTATTATTATAAATTTATGTTATTTACTTGTGTACTCATTTTATTTAAACAACAAAACTCTATTGTAACCCGTTGAATTTAGAAGATCTCTAAAGTCAATAAAGAACTGCCCATACCGTAATTAATGTTTGTTTTACAATCCAAAAGTATTAGAAACAAACTAATGAAGTTGTCAAAGATTCCGTAGAAAGCAATAATTTAAGTTTGCCGTCAAAAGAGTGTGCAAAAAAAAGGTAATTACCCTTTTCGTTATGTTAAAACACTGTTTGGCATTTCTCTACTTCTTGCAAAGAGGGTAATACCACCGCCTAACATCTAATCTATTGTTTGTTTCAATTTGTAATTATAGCTCGAAAACAAACTACAGGTTGTAAATAAATAGCCCTCGATTAATTCGATTACAGGTCGAAAATAGGTCCGCAATGGTTAACTTGCCTTCTTACCTTGTTTTGCAATTCATTTGCATCTTACACATGCACACACGTACATTCGAATTGCTTTTGTTTCCATTAGCTGTCAATCATCCTTACATATGTTTGACTTCAACCCTAGTTCGCTCTCGTTACCATCCATCCACATACTAGACCGGACGAACACCTCCAGAGGAAGGAAAATCGGGGGTATCGGTCGATACGGCGCGGAATGTAGTTTGTTATGTCTTACAAGAAAGGGAGGCCAATTTTGGAAGCCGACTCTTGGAATGCCCTAGGAAAGAATTTGAACACCAATAGAATAAAAAAGACATTAAGTTTTCTTTATAAATAATCAAAAACTTATGTTTATAAACTGTCAGAAAGGTGCCTTTTTCTTATGTTACTCTGAAGAAGAAAGCAATTAGTAAGTTCCATAAAAATGCTTCACAAATTTTTTAGATCTTGCTAAGTTTGCTGGAGTTTCGCTCCTTTATTATTTTCTTTATAGTTAGGTCATGTCTAACAAGAAGGGAAGGCTAACTTTAGAAGGAAACCGGTTGTTTAATAATATAAATATTAGGAAGTTTTCCATTATCTTGATAAAATAATCGAAAACTTATTTTGAGAAAAAGACAAATATATTTCTTATAAAATTTTGGAGAAGAAAGCAATAAGTAAATTGAACATTATAGTGTCGTAAGATTTTTCCTTGGAAACGTAAGTATTTTTTTAATTTACTTTGTAGGTTGTAAAAACTTACAGGCATCGCATTGTTTAGTAATAGAAATCTTTTAATAAAAATGCAATTCTCAAATTCCATAAAATAATGCGCCACCTATGATATGATCTTACAAATTGATGTACGTTAGTATTCTTTCTCATTTTCTTTATTATTTAACAAAAATCATTGATCTAGGATTATAGGTCTTTTTGGTATATCCAGACAGAATAGTGTTTATATTTAAATTCAACAAAGTAATTACAGTTCGGCATGATCATTACAAGGTACCTGCTAAATATTCATCTGCAAGTCATAAACTATTGTTGCTTAATTTTAAGTTGCTGAGTTTATTTAAAAATTAAATCTGGTAAAGTTAATAAGTAAAATCGTAGGAGATTTTAACTTTTTAAAGACAATCTTGTGTGCTAAAATGCTGTAATAAATTAATAGAATGGTGTAATTTACATACCTATTCCTTAATACATTATCCGGAATTGCAGTTAGCCAAACCTAGGCTCTCTTTATTATTGGGGGAGTTTCGATTTATTTCAGGTGAAATCCATATCCATATAAGTGGATTGAATATTTGGATGCTTTAACGAACCAGTAAGGAATCTTATTGTGATTATCCGTAGGGCTCCATTATGTACAGGTGTATGTGTGTTAAATGTAAATTAGTTGATATTTAATCTTGTACTCCATAATTCAGAATTGTTATGCTCATTGGTGGGGTAAAAACGTAGTTTGTTTACTGTTAATTACAATTTATTCATAGAATACCAATAATTCTCCTTAAAAATATTGTGTACTAAATATACATATGTACATACCTACATACACATTTAAACGTCTACGCGGTTTCTGGAAGATGCCTAGCTTTTTGAATTTCTCAAGTTTCTTGCTCCAGTTTCGGTCGAATTTGTGGTGTATGTTATAAAATTCTATCTGGTTAAATCTATTTACTTCCTGGTCAAAACTTATATTATTTTAGTGCAAAACTTGTATGTTGAAAACTATAAAATTTGGAAAAGAGCAGCACAGATCCTCGTTTGTTGTAGAGTCGCTTTGCAAATTATCGACGGTCGATAGGCAACCGAAACGATCTGTGCCGTTCCCTTCGCTCTGCTTTTTATAAAAAAAAGGGTTAAGTGCATTTCGATATCTATAAATGTTTTATTATTTATGTTAATGCTTTTTGGCAAGGATTTCCCGATCTCCATTTCGAATTGAAAGTTGTGAAAATTCTTTACCATTTGGGATTTTAAAAGTAATTTGACTTTGTTTGAAATACTATTTCGATATAATTTAAAAAATTATAATGTACATGATGTACATTACACAACAAAAAAAACTAAGACATATCTTAAAATATTTAAATGTCTGTTAAGCAATCAAAGATTAAATTTTTTATATTGCCCCTAAAATATCAGACGTAAGAAATTTGATAAGATTTTACACGAATGGAAACGTATAATTAGAAATACCTGAAATATTAAACATAAAACATTAAACACATTTTTTAAACGTTTTGTAACAAATGATTTATGGCAAAGGATTACATAATTAATTAGAAAACGATTAAAATGTTAAATACAAAAAATTTCCCTGTTTCTATTCCATTCCGTTCCCTGAAAAAAGTGGCAATTACACAGCATTTTCAACTTGGCCTGCATTTGGTCACACTGAAAATACCGAAAGTGCCGTTGTTTTTTAGGGCGTTTTAGCCAACTTACTTCTTTGTGGTTGTTTGCCTATCTACATTGCCATTTTGTAAATGTGAGTGTACCAAATTTCAGTAAGACAATTTAGCCATTAAACGTTCAAATTATGTTGAATCTTGTGTGCGAACTCAAAATGTAATGTTTATCTCGTCTCGCCGTCGCCTAGCCCATTGACAATTTGCAAACGCAGAAAGTAATAGCCAAAGTCTGAGCCCCCAAAAAGTTGCAGTCCGTGTTAAGTCCTTTGTTGATGGTGGTAATCGGTGGCACAGAAAGAAAAGAAATCCATAAACACACAGCCATAACATTCCGTAGAGGGCTGCGACGAGTATGTTCAGTATCAGCGAGCTCTGTTGCATGTTTTGCTGCCCCCCATGTCCGGGTCCCATTGCGGCCAAGTTGGCCTTCCAGCCGCCGGAACCCACATACAAATTGACTCCGGCGGATGACACCAACATCCGGTACAATCTGCAGCTATTCGATCGCGCCGAATGGCAGTACTCGGAACGGGAAAAATCGAAAGTGGAGGCCTTCTTCACGCGCACATCGCGTGGCAACCTGATCACCTGCATCTATGTGCGTTGCAGCAAGAATGCCAAGTACACGCTGCTCTTCTCCCATGGAAACGCCGTGGATCTGGGCCAGATGAGCAGCTTTTACCTGACCCTTGGCTCCCAGATCAACTGCAACATCTTTGGCTATGACTACTCGGGCTACGGGATGAGTGGCGGCAAGCCCTCGGAAAAGAATCTATATGCGGACATAGAAGCAGCCTGGCAGGCAATGAGAACTAGGTTGGTATATCCTTTAGATATCAATTCATAACCCTTTCTTAACCTTACTCCTTTCAAAAACAGATTCAACATCAGCCCGGAGACAATCATCTTATACGGACAGAGCATTGGCACCGTGCCCACTGTGGATCTGGCATCGCGTCACGAAGTGGGAGCTGTCATACTCCACTCGCCACTCATGTCCGGCCTTAGAGTTGTCTTCAGGAAGACAAAGAGAACCTGGTTCTTTGACGCCTTTCCCAGGTAAGTTCGTTAATTCGTTAATTTGCCATTACCCACATTTGATCTTATCGGATTTTCCCCGCCAGCATTGATAAGGTGGCTAAGGTGAAGGCTCCGGTTCTGGTTATCCACGGCACCGACGATGAGGTCATTGACTTTTCCCATGGCATCGGTATCTACGAGCGGTGTCCTAAGACTGTGGAGCCGTTTTGGGTGGAGGTAATCACATACCTGTATTTAACTATTCTTGATTGATTACCTGCTAGAGCACGTTATTGCATACGTTATTCATAATTCCTCATAGTGAACATAATGATCGTTATTAACTAGAATTGTCTAGCATTGCCATTGAATTCGATTGAGCGTCTCGCATCAAGTTTAAAGCTATTCATAAGCGTTGACAATAGCAATGAGATATCATTTCTCAAATAATAAACATTACTTTAATGGGCTCATATCCACATAAGCTAGATTCTGGATAAAAATAAGCCAAAAATTGAAAATAATTTGTGAAAAACAGTCTGTATTCAAATGAAAGTAAGCATTCAAGTAAAACTATATGCTTTTTTAATGATAGTAACTACTATCATAAAAAATGAATTTTAAATAGAAATATAATGGTTGTCTTTTAACAAAATAAATCGAACGCAATAACTTATATGTATGTTAAGACGTAAAAACTGATCAATTTGCAATATTAAGCTTTAGTTTGAAACATAATTAATTCTCTCATATTTTGCAGGGTGCTGGACATAATGATGTTGAACTGCATCCGCATTATTATGAGCGACTGCGCAAGTTTCTTTCGGTGGAGCTCGTCAAATGACAATTAAAGAATAATGTCGACGGAGGCGTTAGTGACACTACATCGGGTATAATATCAAATTCAAACCCAGCCGCAGGTAGTGCGTCCCTAAGTTCAAAACAACACCCGAATGCTGCAGCTTCTGCAGCTCCTGCAGGAAGCGAAACAAGTAAAAAAAATGTGGAAGCAAATAACAAACGGAGTGAAAACGATGGTTTGTAGTTAATCATAAATATTGCAATGTAATTATTTATCTAGCTCACATCAATACATTCGAGAATTGCATTTTTACAAAGATTATATATACTATACATATGTAAACTAGTTTTCAGCAGTTTTGCACCAAGATCCCCATATTTACAGCATTGTGATCCTGGTCCCCCGTATTAATTTAATAAGCTTAGGTCATATCATCAAATAATTATTAAATATTGGTAGAGAAATCTTTGGGTTTGAAAATGAACAACTAGCAATATGCTCCAGTAATATGGTTTTTATATGTAAGGACGAAAAAAGTTTGAATAAAGCAATTTTTTGATACTTTGAAAGTGGACCGTTTTCTATTGCTATTGCTATTTTAAACAACTAATATTATTTGGCTTCATCGCTTTTTAGGAAGAATATTGATTTATAACCTTAAACTTTTTCTCTAATCGCGCCTCAGTTACTGAGTAATTTCTAATGTGTGTGTATTCGGTCTTTTCACAGGTGCCTCAAATTCCAGCCAGAGTTCTACTAAAGCTCTCGAGCAGAAGTTTCTTTAGCAAAAACAGTCGGGCTCGCATTCAAAAGCCCAACCCTTCTCACCACAGTTCTCAAACAATGAATTATCAAGTAAATCGTGCGGAAACAGACATAACAAACAAAATAGGAAAGACGACCCACCATTAACCAATCTGAAGTCGAACGGCTTTTTTGTTTCTCGATTAAAACAACCAAATATTGCTCCAACACTTCCAGTACTCTCTCCACATTCACCAATGAATGCTAATATATATCTAAACAGCCAGCATACCCAACTTTCCGGTCGATATCTAAACAACAAAGTGTCACAGCAAATGGACACCACTGATGGTATAAAAAGAGTGGCATCTAACAGATCTCTAAAGGACAGTCAAAACGTCTTAACCATTTCATCAACAATAATATGCAATTGTGAGAAATCATCCCATAAATCCAATGGCTCAGATTCGGACACAAACGAGGAAATTAAAATCAAAATTAAGGCAGATACTGGCAACAAACTGGCTGTCATTAGTAAATTAGATGATTCTGCAACCAAGGGGTGCTTGCAATTGAAAACAGCGAGTGGAAAGGATAAGAGAGCTTTGTCTCCCAGACTGACATTGCATAAAAGTGGCTTTCAACAGGCAATCATCATTTCCGACGAAAGCGAAGTCACGAAATCACCTCGATTAGTTTCCCAAAAAACGGGGCAGCTCTCCAGTAATTCAGACAATCAATTTTATCGTCAGCTAACTCATAAAATTAGCAAATCGGAGCAAACTTCCCCCAATAATGTGGAGATGGAGAAAGCTAACTTTCTATATGATTCGAACAATAGGAGTACGGGCTGTTTGGTTTATCCTTCGGATCCATGGATAAAGAATTCTCACACTAAAAATCGCCTATCACCCAAAGCTGAAAAGTATTTGAACATGCATCACAACATAGATCCTTGGGTCAAGAGACAAACTGATGGATGTTCTGTGGATGTATCACGGCCTTCCAAGAAAAATATCTATCGCGAAAAATCCCTCTCTTCCATAAACAATAAACTAGTTTCGACTCGAACTGAGAAAGCAATGTGTAAAAAGCCGCAGCTAAAGCATTCTAAAACAGAGCTAGACGATGATCAAGTATTTTTAAACGAGCCAGGTCTGCTTTTTGCCCCATTTTCTCCACAATATCGAAATACATCGCATAAAATTTGGTCCCTCGACCAACCAACAGTTAACGATTTAAAGGGAAACCTTCAGAGCAAGTCTGCTAGTTTTTTACCCGACAAAGTGAAGGAGACTTCCAGTCCGCTGCCGAACCATGTTAGAAAATCTGTGTATCAAAATAATAGTAACTTGCTTTGTCCCAATGACCAATCGAGATCATTGCTTCAAGTAGAAAAATTGCATTCTAGGCATGGTTCCCTATCGATTCCCGCTCAGTCTAAGGAGGAACTTCCTCTGAATATCCGTCGACTGTCTGAGCAGATTCGGGAACCGCCTTTGGAAAAGAACACTGCTATGTCTCTCAGCGATCGTAACGTTAGTAAAATTCTGCCTTCTTCCGAGGGAGTCGCGTGTGGTGAAATTCGTTTCAAGACGAACAAACTTCAAGTGAGTCGAGATGCCGCTGTGCAGAGTGCTGGTGGAAGCCACCCGGAAGACTTCAAACCTTTGAAACGTGCCCCCAAAGATTCCACCACAACTGTTAATAATATAAATCCCCCCTTAACGAGTACTTATAAGCCTGACCCACTTTTAGAAACCACCTGTTAAATCCATTCGCTAGGAATTCGCCGAAAGCCGATATTAAAGTGTCTCTGCATAGCTCATTCATAATAGGTCATGAAAATATACAAAATATAAAACCACAAATACATACATATATGTCTTATATATCAATCGAATCTATAAATATGAATAATATTAATACAAAAAAAGTAATAAAAACTATTTTTAGTAGTACTTTAAGTTTGAAATTTTTACAGTGATTTTGCATTTATATTAAGTAACACGATATAATGCCCTGCCAGCAATGGGGCTAAGTTCTAGGCTTAACTACATTCGCAAGCATATATATGTGTGTAATAGTGTATTTTTTCCTCATTTTATTGTCATTTTACATATTTGTTGTAATACATTTTATAGTAATAAAATCTTTATAAAGAGCTAAGTAATCTAATTCATTTTCTTTGGATTGTCTGGGGGTGTTTTCTGAGACAAAGTTTGTTAAGTTTCCAATAATCATTTAGATAAACAATACTTTCCCTAACATTTGTTTGCATTGCATAATCCTAAACAAAAACAGCTATTTTTATACCCTATCACAGAGTGTTTGGATTTGAAAAAGGCACAGAAACCTAAGCTACTGTTTTATGAAGACAAAAGGAGATTGTAAAAGTAAGAGCACACAAATATTGTGCGTGAAAATTTTGGGGTTGCCCACGCAAATCAAGCCTCTATTAACGTTGACACCTTAATTACCCTCGATTTGCCTTTCTACCCAGCCTTTCACCAAAACAAATAAATAAATAAATTAAGCTTGTTTGGGATTAAGCCCATAGTTGGGATTAATGGGTATTATCCAAAGAGTTCAAAAATCATTTATGTAATCTGGCATCCATATAAAGTCAGTATGCACAGCGAATAAGAGACAGTTGTTGATTGTCTCTTGTGAAATACATTTATACATTTACAAAAAAAAATGTTAGTGCTAAGAGTGCTTTTTGCTTTAAATATAATAGTATTCGGAACTTTTGATGGAGAGTGTGCCGTAATAAATAAAGATAATTCACTTATTGAAGCTCAATCGATTGGACGAATTGTGAACCGCATAAGTCACAAAGAAATTATACAGAACAACGGTTATGTAAATGATATTACCAGAGCATCAAACGTTGATCAGGGATACCCATGTCCCCATTCATCTGATATACCTAAAATAAATAGTTTTCAAGAACCTCAAATCAATGAAAACCCATCAGTTACGAATTTCGGCAGCTCGTATATAAACAGTCAATCAACACATCATTCTACTGATTTTCAATTGCAAATTCAGAGCTCACGACCAGCTCAGCACATTCACTACCATTATATTGTGCCCAATACTCCTGCAAAGCCGATAATAAATTATGTATCTCAATCCGATGCCAACGCCTACAATGTAAATTCGGACAGTAAGCCCTATTCCTCTATTGATCCGCAACAACCATCACATATTAATGCAAATAATCTACACTCTACCAATCGAGTTGAAGAACCCCAGGTTAACCCATTATACTCAGCTGTGGACAATAGTGGTTACCTTTACGATTCCCCAGATGAGCACCAGGGTCAAGCTTCTGAAAGCACATCGGTTTACGAATCTTTAAGAGATACGGATTCGGGCCAAGTCTTAAAAGAAGAACCTCAAGAACAACAGGAGGCTATACTTAAAACAAATATTCCACAAGTACCCCAAATACAGAAAATGCAAGAAGCCAATAGCACAAAAAAACCGGAGGTGTACTTTATTAAATACTACGACGATAAAGATACTACAACAACTAGTTCTCCTGATTTACCGAAAATAAATGACACCCTAAATGAGTTTTCGGACGGCAGTGGCTTAATAGATATAAGGGCAGGCGTTGAAGAAATTCTGGATAGCCAAATAGAGGATACCATGCCCTATAATGAACATTCAGCATACAATGTTCCGCTGAACTAACAAACTTAACATAAGAATGTAAATTATTAAAATAAAATAAAAATAAATTATGAAGGTTTAGAGTTTCGAAATTATTATAGGTTTTTATTTTGCTTATTAGTTGAAAGTTTGAAAAAAGAACTGTTACAATGGTTCTGTTGAATTAACACGCAGTTAACATTCACAATTATTTTTAATTATTTGAAATGAACATTGATTATTGAGATGTTTGTTTCCTTTTTGTTATAGTATTTCTTGAATTAAGAATGTTAATGATGTAATAATGTTTGTTAACACAAAATTATGGAGATATTTAAATTTCTTCTTCCTTCTTATTCGCTTTTAACTGCTCCTGTTGTGCTGAAAGTTTGACAAAGGAATTCTCCAACATGTTCCAACGGTCGACGTTTATACAAGGTACATTTAAGGGGGGAACCACTGAAAGATCTCCTGCCTTATGGACCTCCGTTTTATCAGCATATACCTTAGAGAATTCATCTGAGTAGACATATTGAGGTTGTGGAAGTCTTCTTACTTCGTTCTAAGCAAAAATTTCGTAATTATAAATAGTAATTATTTGAATATGAATAAATACCTCTTCTGAGACTCCCAAGAACTGAGTTAATGGATGATAGCTCATAAATTCATAAGTGGAATTGACAGTTGTTAGAAAGAAACCTTTCACACAGTATCGATAGTTGTCTGGTATGTCGATTACGCCACCAACTGGTGAACTCATTGTTCTATAGACTATCTGCGAGTTCTTAAGACTATCCACTGTTTCTTCGGCAGCTATGGCATCCATACTACTTTCCCTACTTTGCTCAACATTTTGCGAGGGATCTGAAGCCTGACTCATCTGCAAAATACAATTTAAACAGTTTAAACAGGGCTTTAAAAACACATTTCACTCACCATTTTATTTAATGAATTTTTGCTTTCCTCTAGTACTTCTAAAATAAACAAATGACTCTCCTCGTCATCTGATTTCTCATCTTTGAATAAACCATTTTCGTGGAGTGGTGCAAAGGCGAGCACTAAATCGTTGTGCAGTTTTTGATCCTGGCCACCATGAAGTCGACATTGTCTACTTGAATTGTTTGACTTCAAAAGGCAATATAAATAATATAGTATTTAAGTATAAACTTTATATTTACTTCACAGCTGCACTCAAATTCATCCTCAGACTTGGAATTAAAATACCAATCGGAGGTGGCATCCATAATGTCCTTTGCCTTTGGCCGGAATAACGTACACCAACATGCAAAGGGATATATAATAAAAAAGAAACAATTTATTAAAAATGTTCTTGTTCCAGAAGTGGATTCATATGTTCTTCCAGGTTGCACAGAGTCGAAACCACATCTACCTATTGTTTGAGAACAGATACCAAGAAAAGCTTTTAAAAGACCTGTAAAAAAGGCATAATTTATGATACAAGACATTGTACTTGATGATAATTTTACCCAACAAAAATAGTAAAATCAAAACGAGCAATGTAATGGCCAAAATTTGGCAAGTAAGATTGCATGTTTTGTTGCCGTCGTTGCGTTCGTTCGAAATATCCTTGATGCACACATCCTTTTTTTCATTACCCGGAGGACAATTGTAAATTAAGCCAGCTTCTTTTTCCGACTTAGAATCCATTCTTTCACAAACATTATAGTTAATAAAAGTCTCCAATTTTCCAATGCAGTGGCATCGGCAGCGCCAAACACAAAAGCACCTTGAGTGGCATTTAATGTCCATTGATCTCTTGGCAATAACTCCAACCTTAAGGTCATTTCGTTTTTGTATATTGATATCCATTTCATCAAAGTCTTGGAAAGAATTGGCCTTAACAACCACTTTAAATATAACAAAAAAAAATCAACATAAATTTTTTAAAGTTTATTTTTAAACTTACCATCACAGCTAAATTTATGGTTTTTCCTCGAGCCTGTTATTAAAGGCAATAAAAATGTGACTGTTTGACCAATATCGGGCTGCAATAATTTGTTGGCACTCGTTTTAATTGAGGCAGTTTTCGATAGTTCACAGTTGGAAACAAATATGGAAAATTCCTGTGCCTCAAATCCTTTGTTAATCACATCGATCGAAATTTGAAGCGCATCTTTTGTGGTGGCGTCGGTAACAATTCGTGATATTTTAACTATATGTTTATTTCTGATAACAAGGGCATTTTCTCGAAAGGGAATCTTAACCTTTATACTGAATTCTAAGTTAAAAAAATAAGTTCTTAAGTGAAAACTAGTTTTAAATAGACTTAATTTCATTTTGAATCAATACCTGGTACTTTTTCCTCCCGAATATTTAGACAAAGATGTTTGTCTTTATGGGGACAATTCTCTAAGGCATTCATGGAAACTGGAAAATATCCCAAGGCATCTATGCTTTTCGTTGATAACACCGATTTTTTTCCATCCCTCTTCATGTTTAAATTAACAGAGTTCTTTATTTCACGAATCGATACGTCCTTATTCGAAGTATCAATTAGAAAACTATTAACAATGTTGTTTTGCAATTCCTTTAAAGTATTCAAATGTCTCTTTTTATTAAAATCATTTGTTCTGGGAACAACAAGTTTTTGGTTTGTAAAGCTCGAAGATTTCTCCAAGCGAATCATATCGACATGGGAGGTAAATACAGCAGACAAATCCTTATTTGCATAAATTCCTGACATACTATCAAGCCTAAAATAAAATTTACAAATTAGTTGATTGAGTTAATAACAACATCTGATGCCACATAATTACGTTATTATTGGAACGACCCTCCACCAAGTGTTGTGCCGCCTCCTAAAAACCCGTAGCTTAGTTGTTAGAAACGGTAGAGGATTTTTCATATTAAAAACTGTATAGCTAAAGTCGTCCTTTGTGCTAAGGGTATTAATAATAACAAATATATTATAAAATGTTTGATATACTACTGATATTACCTATTGTTTAAGGCCCTGGATGGCTTAGATGATTCGCAATTACATACGCTGGGATTAGTTAAGCAACCACATGATTGAGATTCGTAATTTCCTTCGTTACATTTATTGGTTCCCTTACACTTTTCACATGGTATCATATAATCTTGTTCGCTTTCAATTTCTAACGATTTAATTTCAGATTGCAGACCACCAGGTAAAGATTTTCCCCCAGGCTTTTTATTTTTACCTCCGCAAGTATCGCATGGAACAATGTCATTAATTTTAAATAGATCATCCTCTATTTTACTCTCACGTCCTTTTGGCTCTTCCAAAACACTGCTATACATTGTTCGGGGCTTTTCATCCTTCTTTTTATTTTTTCCACCACAAGTATCGCATGGAATTTCTCCATTGTCATCTATCTTTTTTAAATGCAACATTTTTAAAGAATTAAGATCGTACTCATAGGGTTCTCCATCATGATTAAAAATATCTTGTATTTCGATCTTACTTCGTTTAATCCTTTTTGCCTTTCTTGATCTTGAATGGGGCAAAGATCTATAATAATTGGTTTTTGGATAAGTTGAAAATGGTTTTATTATAGGTTTGGAAAAGAAATCGGAATATTTTTGATTTGCGAAATCATTTACTTTAGATAGACTTCCAAGTTCATATGGATCTTCTGTTTTATATTTTAAGTAATTTGTATCCATTCCATGTGAGTACCCATTTACATCTGGCATAAAATACTTAGAATTCCAATCAAAATTATCTGCAATGTACATATATATTAACGATACTTTGAAATATTAAATTTTAAACTTACTTGAAAGTTTTTGTTTCATATGGTGGTTTACAATGGAATCAAGGTTATCGTCTGCAGTGTTTGTTTGGGCCCACAAAAAGTCATCAACATTGTTTACAGGTAAACTTGAATATTCATATTTTCCTTCAAGTGGAAATTCATTAAAGCTGTACCTATTCTTTGAATTCAGTTTTTCTTTATCACTTGCGAAATCATTTACTGTGGACTTACTATGGCCAGGATTATTTGGCTTTTCCGCCTTAAAATTAAAATCATTTTTATATATTTCATTGGAAAATGCGTTAAAATCGGGAAGACTATGGGTTGAGGCCTGGAACCCTTTTTTCTTGTTTTCCCTGGAATGTGGAAAATCATTGACACTGGACAGATCATTTACCGGTGCCCTTGAATTTAAGTTATCCTTTTTACTTTTCTGTGCATTTTCAAAAGGTTCTGATAGGCTTTTAAATTTATTTTTTGTATTATCCCTTTCATTAGTATAATCATTTATTAATGGCTTAGTTTTAAAGTTCTTACTTGTTTGAAAAAAATCATTTGCATTGAAAAGATCACTGTTAGATGACTTTAAGTAATTTTTTTCATTTTTCTTTCCAAGTGGAAAATCATATCCATTTGATTTACCATTCGCAAGTGTCATATGATTATTTATATCATTTTCTTTCTTTTCAACTGGAAAATGTTTTTTCTTTAAGTGCTCATATTCATTTTCATGTGACATGTCATTTAAATCGGAGAGACTATTAGAAGATAACTTGTAATGAAAATCTTCGTTAATTTTGTCATATTGAAAATCATTCTTATTAAACACACTTTTATCAGGTACTTTGAAATCATGTTCATTTTTTTCGGGAATATGTTTTCGTTTCTCAGACTGTACCATTTGTTTATATCTAATTAAGTTATTATTACTATTTGTATTATTCGATCTTTACAAAAAAAGTGCAACTTACAAAAGATTGTCAGGTATCGATTCAAAATCTGAAATGTCCATATTTTTATGTAGTTCGTTGGGCCTGCCTTCAATATGTTGTTGCTTATGGTTTTTTAAATCCTGAAATATACATTAGTACCACCTGTAAAGTTTATAGATAAATATATTCCTAAATGTACCATATTTGAAAATTGTATATCATTGTCGTCTAAGGCGTTCTCCCTAAGTTCGTTTTCAATTTGATTACTCTTCGACCGATCTTCAAATTCCATATCCTGGTTATATTTTTGATGCGACTTTATTTGGTTTTCCAGCCCATCATAATCGTTACTCCCTATATCTTTATTGAAATGCATAAACTGAGTAGGAGTTTCCAAGCGGTCTGCAACAAAAAACATTTACACAACGTAATAAAATATTTCAAAAATATATTTACTCTTTTCATTTGTTGGATCCATAACTTGAACTAGTCCCAGACTTGAAATGTCCTTTGGAGGTTGATCATTATAATGTTTATCGCTTTGCCAAATTTGTCTTGGCCTATCTTGCCTTTTATTAGATAGAAAGTGTGAAATTATTGATTTTCCCCTGGCATAGCCTGGTAGGTAATTTCTTTTCGCTAGAAAACAATTAAAATTTTTTTTATAATGAAATCAATTTCACACAGTGACTCACATCTTGATGTATTTCCAAGTTCGATACTTGGTTCAAGTTGGCGTTCATCGGGCTTACAAGATGGTGAATCCTTAATATTTCCAATTTCATCATGATTTATTGTCTACGTTTATGGAAATAGATTAGTCCTTTAAGACTTAAGAAATTTCAAAATTTACTAACTTTTAAAAACTGAAGGGGGTACATAACAACTGGCTCTCCCCTGCTGACCACTATTAAATATGGAGACATTATTTTAGAAATCGTTCCTTTCGATGGCTCATATACTTTATTGACTACCCAAAACTTATCTGTTTTATCCATGTCAAAACTTGGATTCATATGAATATTAATAATTAACTGCGTCTCGCAAGATTTGTTTGAGCTATTTTTAGGACATTTGATTAGAATCGCATTCATGTTATCGGCCATGCTTGATTCGATATCACTTGTCGCCAAATCAATCAATAGATTCACAATCCCATACATTAAAGTAACAGCTGTTTGCTTTTGCATTTTATTTATTGTATTTATTACTTTTTTTTGATAAGTATTCAGCAGGCAAACTTGATTAGATTCGATTGGTTCCAAATAGATGTAGTCTTGTGTTTCAAATATAAACCAACAATTTATTAACAGTATATTTATTTAAAATATACATTTTACATCTCAAATAAAAACAATACTAGTAGGTAAGTCTCTAAAGCTACAATATTGTAATCTGAATTTGGATTGCAGACAAAGTAAATATTCGAGGGTGGCGATCAAATAATATTTAAAGCACATTGCAGGTTTTTTGTATATTGATCATGGATCCCGATGGACATTTGAAAACTTCAGTCGCACTGCCACCTTGGGCAACGAGCCAACCCAATCTGAATAAAATGGAATGTGATTAGAATACATTATGTATTTTTGTATAGTAAACTTACATATTATCAAACTCTGGAGCGTTTGTATCGATGCCCAGATAATTCGATTCAGCACATAGCTCCTGGGCGGAAACTAAAAAGAAGATTTGGGTCGGCGTTAAATTGAGGCCTGGTAGTCTGGCCATTCCTTTAATGGGACCAGTTAACGAAAGCATTGAGTGGTATGAAATCTGCATTCCTCCTGAATGTATCAGTATATCCATTCGGCTATAGTTCGAGAATATATTTACAGAATGTGGCACACAACGCATTGCCTTTTCGTCAAACGATTTTGTGATCGAACGCAAAATCTCTTTGGCAATGGAAACACCAACAGAGGCATAATGCAAATATGGAGGCAATACAGTGTTGAAATACGGTATGAGTATGACAGATAATGGGACAACTGCAAGTATTTACGGAAATATTATAGTTTACAGCGCATTTGTACTAGAAAGTTATACAGACCGATTGAGTGGCTCAGCGTATCATAAAATATGGTTGACACAATGGGGTAGGCCCAACTGTAATGGGAAATAGCTTAAAAACTATAATTTCGTAGAAAAAATTACGCATACGCATCGTGGGATCCTCCATTCAAGCTTATATCGTTTGCCTCCAGTTTGTTCTTTTTGTATATCTCTAGAATGTTCTGAAACCAGCATTCTGAAGTTATGTCCAAAGTTTGAAGCGTCTTCAATAGGTCCGTGGTGTTTGAGAATCCTTCCCAAGTCTGTGACTGGATCTTCAATGCTGATAGTTTAACTAGAGCAGCTCCTTTCAATGAAGGCGCCCTTTTTAAATGTGCTTTAAGAGATTTAAATATAATCTCCGCCTAAAATATTGAATTATTTTAATGATTATGGATCATTGCATATCAGAGCGTATTTACTCTTTTAGTTGTGTCCTTTAAATCTTCGGAGGAGTGTTGAGCAATATATAAGGACGATGATAGTTCAGGTAAGGCCCACATAGTAGATCGTGTGCAAACCTCGGGACTTGGATAGTCCCTGGGCAATATTTCTAAAGCGCTCAGCAAAAGCAGTGAATTGTGTGCCACTCTAGTTGGGTACTTTGTAAGAAAATATTCTAAGGCTTTAAGATAATCACTATTCCTAACAACGATGGGTCCGCTCCAGTTCTGTGGGATCAACAATGTCCAATTTAGCTGGAATAAATGAATAAATAAATAAATAAAAAAGCAGGTAATATAATTGACCGGCAACAGATATTTCCATAATACTTACAACTGGGTACAAGTCTTGTAGACTGGATACATTATATAAAACAGTACTATCCCAAAATCCTCGGCGAGAGTGCTCCACTTGTAGCTGAAATATATGAACTTTTTTAACTATATAATCTTTTTTAAGTAATTATATAAAACATACCTTGTTTAGGTCCTTTATAAATTCAAAAATAGTATCCTTCTCGGATACTCTTTGAGCGTATGACACAAAATATGGTAGAAAATGTTCGATTAAATCGGCCAACAGTTTTGGTAGCCCTTGCCGAATACGACTGGGCGGTGCTTTTGGGCTCATCCAACGTATTTTACGCTAAATATTATATTTTATTATTTATTTATAATTAAATTTGCCCTTATACAATAGTACGTTAGTTATACCTCAAGAATAGTTGACGATGTGCTAGGTCCACTGATAATGAGTAGAATATGCGGCCTTCTTCCATAGCTTAGATCATAATATAAGTCTACTAATGGGCTTGGGCCGAGATCATAGATCTTGGCTATCAAAGGTGCTATACTCGAGGGTCCGACGGAGCCAACAGGTAGATATCCGCCCAAGGAATCGAATATCCTGTGCATTACAGTTGAGTTAGTTGTTTGCTGCAGGCAGCTTTCGAACAAATTGTGCAATATATTAAAGCTGTCGTTCATTATCTTGTTCTGAAAAATATCTGTGAAAAGAAGGTTTTTAAAAAAGACAAATAGAAGATATTAAAATAAAACGGATAAAAGCAATTAAATTAAAATGTTAATACAAAATAAAGTTAAATTAAAATTCAACTTGATGGGGTATCAGTTTTTGGAATAGGAAATCTTACACAGCATTTGTGAATCGACGCTTTTCTGTGAATTTCCCATTTCAATGAGGTTTGTTATATTTTTATTTCGCGTGTTGCGCCAACAACTGAACTTCTTGAACTCTGTGCACGGATCTTTGTTCCAGTTGAGTCTGGCTTGAATGCTGGAGGCCACCGCTTCGCAAATGGGATCTGTGCATTCCGGAGGTGTTGAGACGGCGGGCGAGCACCGATCTCCGTCCATGTAACAATCTCTGGGGAGCGGTGATGGTGCCGTGCTTATCAGGAATAAAATGGGCGATGCCACCAGCAATGTGGTCACCAATAATGTGGCCGAGGTAATGGCCATTTTGTGCACCGCTGCCGAAGTTCGCAGCCAAATGCATGGTGCGCAGCATATCCATCCAATAATACTGTTCTGTAATCGAATTAATGTTTAATGCATCAAAACTATTATTTATTATTATATTTTTTTAATTGTAAAAATGATTGAGAATCATTTGTGAAGATCGAAATTTAAATAAAATGTTTTACTTTAATATATGAACTGTTACTTAAAATTATCAAGAAATACTTGTAAGGATCTGAACTAAATGGTAAGGAATAAATGCAATGCTCATACGCAGTGTGGACTATCAATTTAGTACTTTAAATATTAATGTTGATTTTGAATTACATTGGTTTTAAAAGGTTTTGTTCTTCAGCATAAACTATAAGTCCAAATGTAAAATTTTGTAATGAATTGGAAATTAAGAAATAGAGTAAACTGCTTACCTTATTATATCGGGTATTGAAATTTTCGATGTTAGAGCTGTCTATCATTTCGATTTCATCGGATTTGCCCATTTGTTTGGAACCAACGGGCGTTTTGAAGGACAACTGTTTCTGGAGCAGGGAGGCGCTACTTCCGCCGGATGGATTGGCGGTCGTAATAAGATTTCGACCATGACCGTTGTTGCCCAAGCCGGCAACGCCATTCTTTCGGAAAACATTACGTGCACTGGAATCAGCTGTCATTGTTTGGACTTGTTTCTGAAAATTGTATTACTTTCTTCTTCGGACTCTTTCATGGGCATATGTATTTATGCACGTATATTCGTACTGCGGGTGTTTGGGGATTTATGATAAGCACTGCAGAAAGTTCAAAATTATAATAATTTATTGAGGGAGAATTAATCAATACCATTATTGGTTTCTCACCGCTCATTTATCTCCAGAGATCTATATACACATATGAGCTGTAGGCTCATTCAAAACACTGATGGGTTTATAGAGACCATAAACCAAGATAATTACAATTTATTTTTAACTTTAAATTTACTTAACAAGTAATTCACTTTGCTGCCTAATAAGGAAATGAAATGACCACTGGCAACACTCGTTTCGTTCTCTTAAAAGCTCCAGCTAAAAGCTTTTGTATCATGTAGGGTCCCTGTAAAAGCTCTTCTATTATTGTATGTCCATTTTTGCACTTTGAAGGGGGAGAAAAGTAGTTGAAAAAATATTCGTAAAGAACACAATGCTATTTCTCTTCAGGTTTTGTTTATACGAATTAAATTTAAGCCCTTGTCCACTTTGAATGAAAACCTCACATTTATTACCTTATAATGGACAATTTGTCCTTATTAAAACTTCAATAAGTTTTTAGTCAAGTATTAAGGGAAATACAAAATATTAGAAGTGTTAAAGATCTTAAGAGCTACCTGTTGGCATATTTCGCAACGATTAAAAAAAAAAAAGACACCCAATCTATTTTATTAACCCCAATTTTAAATTATAAAATTTACAACTATAACTTTATAATAAATAATTTTTTCTTACCCTCCCTTCCATAAGTTTTAAATTAAATATGATTATACACAAAAATAATGTTGAGTAAATCCTTTTTATCGCCACCTGTTGGCATCTTTTGCAACCAAACCAAAAAATCAGTTTAAACCCGCCAAACAAATAAACCATTCTTTAGATTTGTGCATTTCACATTTATTTTCGAAGTATCGATTTCATATATCTTTGGCGTAGAAGGTATATTATATTTTTAAAGCTATGAGTTGTGTAGGCAGAAAAAATTTGACCTTTTTTTAAATATGTAAAAAGCTATTTCATTCTTTATAAAGCGTTTCAAAAATTACAATTAAGTAATCGTTGTTTGTCGATATTTATTTATTTATTTAAGCCTCGGCCTTAATGCGAAAATTTGAATACAAAAATAGCTAGACTTAGTACCCCATAGGTTACTGATGACTGGACAGAAAAGCTTGACGAATTAGCTAAAGTATTATATAGTTTAAAATCTCCCTCATAGGAATACCTTCTCCTTGTCGTAGCTCTTGAAGTAGCCATCGTACTTGCTGAGCTCCCTGGCCATTCCCGAAGAGGTGACCATGGAGGGCAGGGCTCTGAGGAAGCCGTAGAGGCCGGAAGGGATTGGAGGAGTGGGTGGCACACTCAGTCCACATCGATTGTACAGGAAGGGCATGATCCCCGTGACATTGGTGTGCAGCGTCAGCACTGCCTCCAAATCGGACTCCTGGGCATGCGTTAAGAACTGATTATAGGCACTGGACGGTATCATGCCAAAGTGGTCGAACGAATCCACATACGCCTCGGTGTCCCGCTTGTAGTTCTCCAGGAAGTCGCCCAGCAGCTTGGCCACCATGGCGGAGCGCGCCTTGCTGGCCACCTTGATGTTCTGCATATTCCGGAACATCACCGGCGGCTTCACGGAGCCTCCGAACTTATTTAAAAACTTTAATATTATCTTCTCGTGTATATCTTTGGGATCTTCTGTTAGCCGCCGGAGCACGGATTCCAAGTACAAGCTGAAAGTCTGTCGCGCTTGAAAGGGAGTCAACTCAGATCCATTGGAGATTTTCTTGAGCATCACCTTGCGCAGGCGACGTCCCTCCACCTCGCACTTCTCCACCGTGGGCTTCTTGACAAATGGTATCTCCGAATCCGTCTCCAACGCCCTCTCGTATTGCCAAATGCGGTCTGCCTCCGAATTGTCATCCTGCTTGTGCCGGCCACCATCCTTGCAGTATAGATTCTGGTGAAGCATCTGGTTGTAGTTGTGCTGCATTATGGGCGTTTGGAATGTCTGACTTTGTACCGTCGGTGTGGATATGGGAATGCCATTGGAGGAGTCTAGAAAGTTACCATACCGCTGCATTGAGTCGTCCGTGGGAAAAATGCGTACGAATCCGCCACGACGGGAATACTGAAGGCGTGCATTGCGCAATATGCGCTGCTCTTCGCCGGTTAAATTAAGATTAATGGCAGCTCCACCTCCTTTCTTTTTAGACTTTTTAGCCTTTTGCGAGACACTGGGGAAAGTGGCCTGCCTTTGGCAGCTTGAACTGCGGAAACGCGACCATTTCTGGTCATAATGAGATCTCATTTCGGGACTATAGGCTGGAATGCCCACGCATGTCAGTAGGTCGGCCATTAGGCATGACTTGACCTTGGTGTCCAGGGGACTATCCACGCCCATTGAAGGCGACAGATTGACCTCCAGCAGCCATGGCTTCAGCGCATTGTCTATTAGTATATCAAAGCCATACAGCTCAAAGCAGTTGTTGCCGTTAGGCACAAACATTCTGCAGGCGGAAATAATAGATTGGGCACAGGCCAGAACAGCCTTTATAATTAAATCTTCTATATTCAGCATTAGCTGCCGTGTATCACAACTCTGGAGTTTCAGGTGCCTTAGCAGGGCCGACAACGTCCACTTATGGCCCACATCCTCATCCTGAGCATCGGAGCTCCTTATGTAATCAGAATGATACTTGTTAATGCTATAATTGCAGAGGTGCATGCACGGGTTCCACAGATTATCCGCATGCCTGTCGTATTTGACTGTGGCCAACCGAACGATGCCCTCCTCGTATAGGTAAATAATAAGGGGATCGAAGGACGTCACTAGCACGTATACCCTTAAATCACATTTGTGACCATCAATGCACAGCGGATCCACAATATACTTGGATACCACCGCCTGCTCATCCTGTGGAATTTGATCGGGCTGAAATAGAATTTATCTTATAAGTAAGTTGAAATTAAAGAAAGTTTTTCTCTACAATTACCGAGTTAACAATAAATATTCCCCTTCCTCGACTAGAGGCTGCGGGCTTAACTATCCAAGGTCCGCGATGCTTGTTATGAGCTACTACTAAATCTCGGGATTCTATGGGCAGGACAAAACTTTGTGGCACAATATCAAAATGTTTCATTCCACGCAGGTGTTGCATACGCTCAATGTTTTTATATAGCCTGTCTTTTCGGGTCAGCTCGTAGGATCTGCATATATAAATTATAAAGATTATACCAAAGTTAGTTAAGAACATATGAAGTACAAGTACCTGGGAAAATGATTAACCCGCTGATAAGGCGCCAAATTTCTCACAATATCTAATTTCATATGAACACCAGTCCAGAGTAAATTAAAGTTATTACTTTCCCCCTGAATTTCTGTAAGGCCATGTACATTGAAGAGCTTTCTCAGCAACTTGGTTTCCGTCTGATGGAATTTATAGGTAATTTTGAGTTTAAAGGCAGGCATGTTAACACCACTTTCGTCGTCGTCTTCGCTCGTCACCTCCGGATCTTCCTCACTTACTTCGGTATTCGAAATGGATTTGGCAGGCGTCATGGACTCATATCCACTTTCCTTCGTTATATCTTCAGCTAATTTAATATTTATGGTATTCTGACTGGTTTTAAGTACACGCGATTTGCTTTCACTACTACGCGCAGGCTCTTCACCTTCACTGGAAATGGACGTATCACTCGAGGAATATCGGTTAAGTATCTTCTTAAAAGGGCTGGTAAAGGTCGATTTATCCGGCCGGTTATCACATTTTTGTTGCGGTTTCTTCAATAAATAAATCTTTTGCTGCGTGGAACCACCGTTTAGAGCTTCCTTGCTACTTGGTTCTGAGGAAGTGGATCCTTTTTGCTCCGTTTTGTTGGCATTTTGGCATAGCACGGACTCCTCCTCATCCTTATTATCCTTAGTCTCCGATAGCGCTTGCGCAGAGGACTTCTCAGACAATGTCTTGCGGATTTTTGGATTGAGAATATTCGTTCTAAAGACCAAAACAGCTTCGCGCGAGCCCAGTTTTCCACTTGTAATCCAATCATCTTCTTTTTGATAATCAAAGTTGATTCTAAAATACAAACCCAAAATAGGAAAAAATTAGAAAATTAAGCTATTAATTTGACTAAAAACAGTACACAGAAATGAAGGTTTTGAAACCGTTAAATCTTAAAGATATTTTCAGAACTTACGAAGAATTCGTGAGAGCTTCACACAATGAAGAAGGCATAACGATTTCTGAAAGGGTCAAATATAAAAAAATTTATAATTAATTTTTTTAATATATGTAAAAAAAGACCTAGACCGATTTAAAATTATTGGCACACGATATTATAAAATTAGTCAACATAAAATTGTGGGTAGATGGTCAGATAGATTGTAGCTAGCGATATGTCCAGAATTTCAATAAAACACAGAGCATTCGCCCGGATCGAATAGAAAAAAAACTGATGTAGGTATATTTTTTAGTCACCGACAAAAACAATTCTCTCTATAAATCATATGCTAGCTATGGAAAACAGTTTCATCAAACTGATCTGCCGGCGCATTAGAAATACACTCAAAATAAATTATCAAAATACTCAAATAAAATCCCATTTTTAAACGAAAGCTTCAATTTTTGTAGCAGTTAGATTTTTTAATAAAGCAAAAATATATCATATTATGCTTTAATGATAATATCCTTCAGTATAAATATGAAATTCAGTGGATGATCAAGAAATTTAAGATGGGATTTTAGAAATTCAAGACAGCCAGGTCAAAAATTGTTGGCAGGTATTTTGATTTCTAGAAAGAAATCGGTAAAATTATGTTTATATATGATGTATGTAACTACATTTGTTTTAATTCGTACCTTTTTCTACAACGTACAGCTCCCCACAGCAATAGGACTGGCCGTTTTGAACGAGGATTGATCTAAAAATGCATATTAAGGAGCGAATGGTATATTTTTTTAAGACAAAGGACTTGGTCAGTTTTCCAGCGATTCACAGTTTTTGTGGGTAATACTTGTCCAGCGACGAGCGTTTGACATCTTAAGTACTTCAGATAGCGATAATTCATCAGTCTCCATGGATGTTACTCAGGATATATTGATCTTATTATTTTGATTCGTTTTCCTTTCGGTATCCTTTCAAACTTATAAGTTTCCGATTCTAGGCCAAGAACCTTGAAGTATAGGCTCAAGACCCATTTCAAGTAAAATACTGCATTTCTCCGTATTACAAAAATGGTAAAGTAATATTCCAAGCGCTTATCGGTATTTGCTTACAGTTCTACTTTTAAAATCCAATAGCCCGAAACCGCAGATAAAAATATCTTCATCATCTTTCCCCTTGAACTGGTTGCAAGATTTACAAATTTATTGAATCGGGCTTAAATACAATTAGACTAAGAATTTTGATAAAAGTTTAATTTTAATTAAAGTTAATAGGCTTATTATAAAAACCAACTATATAAATAAAATAACAAAAATTTTAAGAAAAAAAATTGTTAACATAATTTTTTTGAATCAGTTTCGGGATGTAAAAAAAATATTGTTATTAAATTAAAAGAAAACAACATTCTTGATATTCTAGACAATTCTTTATTTTAAAAGTGTATGCCTTAAAAACTATTTTTCCGATTATTTAATATGCGTATATATTAAGACAAATATTTTCAATTATGCCATCGGTTTATTCACAATACATTGTTCAATTGTTGTACAAATTTTCAATGAATGTATCTGGTTTGAAATGTTGTGACTACATGTTTATAGTTAATGGGTTTCATGTAAATTTCGATTAAAAGTCTAGCTGCTTTACGGACTACCATTTAAAAATTATTCCTCCGATTCAGGTTGTTGTAAGCTGGGTTCAAGTTGGTGTTGAAGTTGAAAAGCGACGACGTAGTGAGGTCGTGTCGCAAAACGCTGCTTGGATTCATCGTCGATGCGCCAGATGAGCCGAATTGATTGTTTTGATATTCGCCTGATAAGCCGGATCCGCTGGATCCAAATCCACGATCAGTGGGATACGCGTTCAAAGTGTTAGGATTGATAATGTTTTGTTGGTTGTTAAAGCGAGCCACATTTCCCGAGTAGTTTGGACCAGTATACATACTGGTCGCATTGTTAACATTGCTGTTTCCATTGCTTGCAATGTTTAAATTTCTAGTCGAGTGTTGTGCCAACAAGTTAACATTGTTATTTGAGTTCGGAGGAGCCAAGATATTGGATGTGCTGGGCACGGAGTTTACCGAACTGGTAGAGGGAACATCCTGGCGTTTCTTTTGCTCAATTAGGGTGTATACTTGGAGTATCTTCTGAAGTTCCTCACGATTAATAGATGTTTTGCCTTGAGAGACCAGAGATGAGACCAGCTTTGCTGCTAGTTCAGTTTTATCCAAGGGTTTTTCGACGTTATACTGATTTTTGTTGGCCATCGGCAATGCTGGATTCTCACCAGACTGCTTTGGGTGGTTATATTTACTGGCCTCCTGAAGCAAAAGCTCGGTATCATTAATAGCTTTTTTCAATGCCCTTTCCTTGGCAGGATCATAGATTTGAGAGATCAAGAGACCCGTAAACTTTTCCTTTACCGTCTCCAAAATAGCACAGTTTTCGGCTGTTAAAATCAAGAAATGAACTTTTTCTGGATAAATCTTTTGCGTTTGCAGAGCCTTCACCAGCATTTCGGTAATAAAAGGACCCAAACTCCCAAGGTAGTTCTCCAAAGCAGTTAAAAGGCGAAGCACATGGATCACATTCGGCGGCTCCACCACATCAACAGACATTTTTTCGGGACCTTTAGCAGTTGCCTCCGGTTTTCTCATTACGGGCGGCTCATTGGTTTTGGGCAAATGAACGTGATACTTTTCGTTGGCTAACTCATTGTTTGTCATTGGCAAACACAGCCTTTCACGACATTTGATTTTGATATTTTCAATATCTTGATTGTACAATTCTTCGATGCGTGCGTTAAAGAAATGAATCCACTCGTTTTGGAAGTTATAAGAACGATGATTAATGCCAGCCTGTATAAGCTCGTCCTTGCGGCGCTTCCAGAACATTTGCCACTCGGTCTGATAGCTGGGATGCTGTTCGGGGTCGGATTTGTATTGGTCAAAGGAGACGTTTAGCTCACGCACCTTCAGATCGACCATGTGACGGTAGGCCTGCCAAATATCGCCATCGCGCAAAGGCGACACCGACCTGCGTTCCACATTCCAATGCCGCTGCTTCGGGGCGACCCGCTTCCTCTGATCGGGCGACTTCGATCTGGAGCGGTTTCGCTTTAGGTTTCGTGACTTCTGCACTTCGCCCGAATTCTGTCTGGTGTCCCTCAGGAAGTTTTCAACCATGCGCTTGTGCGTTTCATCGTCAACAGTTTGGGACGGATTCTTAGCCGGTGCATTCTGATAGCTCCCCATATAGTTACTGGGACCCTGAGGTGGTGCATATGGTGATGGAATGAAATAGGGATTCGGGTTTTCAATGTTCATCAAGGCCACGTTGTTTCGAGCTTTTTCAATCAGCTCGTCAACCTCTTCGGCATTGACAACGTGGGTAAACGAAGGTCCCATCTTCTCCGACGAATGCTTTCTATTGTACACCTGCGAGAACAAATCTTGGCGATCTTTGGCATAGACATGTTCATAGCACAGATGGGCAGCTTTCCGCCCATGATGGGTTTCAATGGCCATGGCCAGCTTATCAAAGACGGGCATCATTATTTTGCAGACCTCACCCTCTGGGACATGGGACACGTACTGACGGTACTGGCGCATTGCTGTCGGAAAATGCTTGTCGAAATACTTAAGACGGTGATTGTAGCCCAGCAAATGGTTGTGCATCGATTGCTCGTCGGCAGTGATCTCACATAGACAGCATTGGTATCTGGCATTCTTATCGGACAAATTGCGCACAATTTTCAAAACGTACTCCACGCCGACGAGACCCATTACGTGACTTTGACTTCTGGACTCAAATGTGCCATTTCCAGATCTAGCTGGTGCGAAATCCTTTGGAGCAGCCACATAGGAAGGTGTTATTACCTTACTGATACTAGGACGAACGGGAGGCGCAACATTTTTGGTTGGCTTTTTGGCCACCACATTCGTTGGCTTCGTCGTTTGAATCGGTAAAATGTTTTTGGGAGTCTCAGGCGGCTTACTAACCTCTTTTGGCTGTTCTCTTGGTTGCTCTTTTGATTGTTCGTCAATAATAATTACATCTGAATCCGCTTCAGGCTCTGAAGAAGAGCAAATAAGCTTGGCAAGCGGAACACAACTGATTTTTGTCGAAAGTGGATTCTTGACTATATCCGGATTGTTTATCTTGTTGTCCACATTGTTGGGCTTTGCTTTCTGCACAGTTTTAACTGGCTGTGGCTTTGTTTTCGGCTGCGTTTGTGTTTCAGGCTGAACTTTTGCCGGTGGCTGGGAATTCTGCACAGGTTTTGTCATTGGCTTAGCCACAACATTTGCTTTGGCAGCAGGACTTGGCAAATTCTTTGAAATGTTCGACGGACTGGTTAAGTTTGTTGTAGTAGCTGCCTGTGGACCGTTTTTAGGCCCTGGATTCTTTGGGCTGGCCACATTACCAACAGTTTTATTCGCTTGAATATTTCCCTTGTTTACATTAGGTTTTTTCTGTTCAGTCGCACCAATAACAGGAATATTTTTTTGAATGGTTGGATTTTTTCCAGGAATAGTTTTTTGAGCGGGTGAATTAATAGTTCCTGGAATATTCTTAGGTGTGGGTGTAGCAGTTCCTGGTGTGTTCTTTTGATTGGGTGTAGCGGTTCCTGGTATATTCTTTTGATTGGGTGTTGTATTTCCTTGAATATTCTTTTGATTGGGTGTTATATTTCCTTGGATAGTCTTTTGCGGGGCTGTATTATTTCCTGTTGTGTTCTTTTGAGCTTGTTGCACGGCACTTGGGTTGGGCTTTTTCTGTGCGTTAACGCCCGCAGCTGAACTATTCTTTGGAGTGGGTTGAGCTTTCACAGCTAAATTCCCACCTGCCTGCTTAACGGTTGCGTTAGCGCCATCATTTTTGTTTGGAAGATTTTTGTTTGAAGCCGGTGAATTTTTAACAACAGGGGATGGGCTATTTTTGTTGTTATTCATATTGGTGTTCGGACCTCTTTTAAGGGGTGCGGTAACCGCTTTCGATGGACCACCGGCAGGCTTTAATCTTATTTGCAATTGCTGTTCAGCTACCATTACAGCGTTATGTTTTTTACCACTAAGGTGGCTAAACAAATTCTTGTCGCCGAACTGAACAACACGGCAAATATTGCAATTGTACTTCCAACGTGGATCTGTGGGGGTTACCAACAATTCCCATTTTTTCGTTGGATTTAGACGGAACTCAAATTGTAATATTTCTTCCAATGATATTGTTGACAACATCTCAAGAAACTTTTCCCCATTCATGGGTTTGTTGTGCATGTTTTTGGTATCCATCTTGTGTTTGTAATACCTTAAAACATTAACTTATATTTATGTGGCTCGCAAAAAGTAAGTTTTTTATTTCGGTTTGATTGTGGGCTTCAACCGATACAAATTTGATTTTGGTTTTGTTTTCAGATATTGAGATGCTATAAAATTGAAGGAAAAAATGATTTTATATCAAATTTAAGCAATTAATATCCAAATATTACTCTTAAATAATATTCAATTGTACTATTTTTCTAAAAACATCAATTAAATACTAAAGTTCTTATGCTATTTGGAAACAACAGTGTTTATAAATTCATCTGAATTCGTGACAACATTTTTGGTTACAGTTCTTAAGTAATAATATAGTGCAATTATAATATATAGTGCAAAATAATTTTAGGACCACATGGACTAGAATTATGAGGTAGAATATCACATTTAACCTGAGAATAGGAATTCCTTTTAATTCAATAAATCCCGCTTAGTGATGTGGTTATGAAAAGCATTGGATTTTCATAGAGCGGTATGTGGATAGTTTGTTGGAACTTGTGGGCAAAATGGAAATACTCACATCTATTTAGATGTTCTCTCTGTTTGCTCAGTTTAAAATCAATATTTAGCTTACCGTGGGGACAACAAAGCGTAGTCGATAAACGTAAAAGGTCACCCAGAACTCGAGATGAATAATAGAATAGGCTTTAAAAAAAAAGTATAACCATAAAAAAATAGAAGATGTAACTTTGTTAAACAAGAACTTCCACTGTATTAGAAAATCAAACTTTCTTTTCTTGGGTAAATTGTCGATTAAATGTTGTAAGCTAGTTCATTAATACATTTAAAAGCTACTGAGTAGCAAAGAAACTTGTCACAATCTTTTGTTGATTGGTTTCGTTAATTTAAGTTTGGATAGAAATAAAACCAAACTTGTTTGTGGGATTAAGATTCCACGATTTGAGTTCTGTGGTTGGAGAAGTTATCAATGAGAAAAAAGAGAGATTGACAATATAAAATATTTGGACAATGTTGTTTACGATAAAGCGCGTAACTAATAAGCCTCATTTGAAGTAAGTAAACTTTGTATGTTGTCCCTTAATTCATGGCAAATCCAATAATGGTTCAAAATAACCACTAGTCGAAGGATCTTGCTAGATTCAAAAACACATGTTTTTAAATGGTTTTATAAATAGTTTTGAAACAAAGGCTAGCTTTTCGTCCGCATGGTAAACTTAAATATGGGTTTAGACTGTCAATATCCAAATAAAAGCCTACTACCATTAAGACGTTTTATACCGGCCTTTTTTTGTAAAACTGAAGCACAAAAAAAAGCGACTAAGAGCGGTTTATATGAAATACTTCGCCACATTCATAGATTTATTGCAGGACTTTTTTATACTGACTTAAGATTAATATCTTTATTATTTCCTTAACAAATTCCGTAAAAGTATTTTTGGGTATTTTTAATGCATAAAACGATCAGAAAGTTGAGGATGTCCATATTATTACTAAAATGTAAGTAAAAAACAATCCTTAAAAAACCGTCTATGCTGTATGTATGACATACAGAAAATCAAGTGAGAATTAAAACTGTCGACATTGCGACAATCGCTTCCCCGTCGATTTTGCAGATCTTGCACTTTGTGCGAATTGATTTAAATTTGCAGAGTCTACGGATTTACATGTTAATATATACCCGAGATAATTGCAAATAAAGACCTAAAGCTGTTTGAAAATTCAAGATCTATCCAGTATATTTTGTGATAAAAAATACATTTTGATTATCACTTGTTTCACTTCTTCTGGGATATAGGACAACTATGGTACAAACCCGTTGGAGGGTGTAAAAATAACAGTTTGACCAGACATTACTTATCAGCAAGGGGGTAGAACAACCCCCAAAAAAATGCAGATAGGAATGAAAAGCCGAGATAGGCATAAAAGCAAAAAGAGCCCCATTACCTGACCCGATTATAACAATTTTATATATAATGCAATTCCGTAAAAGGAGAAAACGTCAAAAAAAAAAATGACATCACGATATTTTTGCTTAAACATTTTGGGGGTTAAATATCACTTTTTGGGTTGTGCACATTTGCAGTTGATGAGGTCAAGGCAAAATCCATAAAAGTAACTGTACAACAAGGAGCTCCAAAAAAGAAGAAGAAAAAAAAACTGCATGTAGCTAGCAGGCGAATTGGTATTGATTTTTTTGTTTATGCATGTCCCGCGTTCACATGAGGAAATGGAAATCCATTTCGAACACGCACTCACAGACGTAGCCTTATGAATAACTTATAACTATGTATGATGTACAAAAAGGGATAGAATTGCATTATCTTTCTAGGACTCACCGGTTACCAATTGGAATACTGGGGGCCCGTAGATTTCGATGTGGATTACTAGCTGGGGCTCGAGATCCCGTTCCCTCTCCTCTCCTCTTTCTTCTTCTTCTTCTGCTCTTTCAGGTCCCGTACGCAAAAAGGCCACAATTCACGCAATGGACATGGACTCCGTTCACGATTACAAAAATAATTTGCGTTTACTTGAATTTACTACTTGCATCAGGCCGAAGAGGACAGAGAATTTCGATGGCAACGCATCAAAGAAACAAATATCAAATTTGTCTCTACGGGCCCAAAAGTTATTCTCGGTTTGGCGATGGGCCACCTGCGATACGTTTGTTCCGTCACATCCCCTCGTTCGATAAATGGTCAAATTTAGTGTGACCGTATTTTGCCATGATACCGTCATTTTAGTATCTATCGATCAGTTTTGAACAAAAGCAATAGTCTTTAATTATTTTTTTCCAGTGAGTAATTTTAACTACTTTTTTTCTACTTTCAATGATTTTAAGTTCTAACCAATGATATCTTCCCCTCATTTTTTGAAACGCGTCTTCTTTTATTCCTTCATTTTATTATTAAGCAGATATTAAAGTGTAAAGATGTTATGAATTCCAATTATTATTTTACTGGTTCCTATGATTTTATGTACCATAACATCGATTACGTTAGGATATTTTTTGCGGCTGTTTTTACTACTTAATATACATTTTAAATCAAATATTTAAATTTTCATCTGCTTAAAAATAAAATTAAACTGTTGCTATAAAATTTACAAACTATTGTATTTACAAGTTTTTTTGTTTACTTGTTTTTTTTTTGTATATAAATATAAAACTTCAAATCGATTTTCAAGTTGTGGTAAATTAATAATAAATGGCCAAAAATACTGAATTAGAAATATCGCACGAGGGCATTTTAGTACTTTTTGAACCGGCATAAGGAAAACCATCGATTAATCCTCTCGACCATCGGTGTTTCTCCCATCACTTTCGTTTCCGGCGAGGTGCGTAATTTGCTCCGCGTTTTCGCAATTTTAACCGATTACCTTCCGACTGAGCACTCTGCCGGCCATGTGCCATTAAGTTAACCAGCCCAGCAAATCGATACCACCGAAACCAAAGTAATCCCTCAAATCTGGTTCACTTGTAATCCGTAGGCAACTTTTTACATCATGGACAATTCTGGAAATAACCGCTACGAGCTGTTGTTCATGGACGACGATGACTCCGCCGCCAACTCCGCTCCTGCCCAGCCACAGACTGCCATTCCCGCCGTAGTTGCGCCGTCCAAGAAGGCGGAGCAGCCGGCCAAGGCGGCAAAAAGCAAGCCGGAGAAGGAGAACAAGCCGGTGGCGTCGGCCCGCAAGGCCAACAACTCGAATCCGGTGGCCAAAAACACGAGTCCGGTGAAGGGAGTCGGCGGCAAAGGAGCGCCAACTGGCGGAGATCGCCCTAGGAATCCGGCCACCAGCAACGGGCCCAGCAACCAGGGCAGATTCAACAACAATCAGCGCTACGGAAACAAGGAACAATCGTCCGGAGAATTCGGAAACGAGCTGCCGCAGCGCCAGTTTAACAATCGTGATAACAGGGGACCACCACGCGTACGCGCCGGCGAAAAGTTCGGCAAACGAGAGTTCGATCGCCAGTCTGGATCCGATAAAACCGGTAATTACCTACCATACATCTTGGTTCTTTGTTCTCGTATTTACTATTTATAAGTTGTACAAAAAGTAAGCACTCTTCTTGATTTTATCAAAGAAAACGCTAACCTCAAACGTAAAGTATAGAGCAAACCCCTGACAACAAGATTACAATATCGCTTACTACAGCACACATTTCTCACGTGATTTTCAAGTTTTAAGAGGCAGAAATATTCGTAAACGCGCGGTTTATCAATTCAGTTCGAATTGGTAATGCGTAGCAACTACAAAACGTGTTTGTAAATATTTATATCTTTTTTTTGTGATAAAAATTATGTGTCTATTTTTTGACATTTGTGATCACATGTTTTGCTAAACAACACAATAAAGTGTGCCATTCGTAAATTACAATTATTTGCACATTCATCAAATTTATTGTAATACATTATTTCAATGCAATACATTCTTCTTAAAGCATTACATTTGCGAATTCATCAAATTATTTTAAATACATCAGTCAGAAATATTTTAATGACTAGAGTATTTTATTTTTGTTTTTGCAAATGTCAATATGTTTGATTTCAGAAATTCTTAAACTTTCTTTACTCAAATAGATTTTTCTGTATTTGCAATTAAATATATAATATTCCATATTCATATTGAAAGATAAGCAGCCTTCTAAGTACGCTTTTTAATCAGTAATATTTTAATAAGAGGAGTATTTTATTTTGTTTTTGTCAATTTCATTCCTTTTTCTCAGAGATGCTTCTATTTTTAGATTTAAAGAAATGGTTCCTTATATTTGCATTGTTATATTAGCAAAGCCGCTTCATTTCTATATTAGCCATATTAATTAAAACTCATATTTATCATTAATTTACAACCCACAGGTGTGAAGTCAATTGATAAGCGGGAGGGCGGCGGTGCCCATAACTGGGGGTCCCCGAAGCAGGACATTGAGGACCTCAAGACCGGGGAATCGTCACCGCAGGCGGAGAAGGAGGACTCGGCCAATGAGCAGTCGGCTGATGCGGCGGCCGCTGCAGCCGCCGAGGAGGATGAGTCCAAGCAGATGACCCTTGACGAGTGGAAGGCTCTGCGGGATCAGCGTGCCAAGCCCAACTACAACTTGCGCAAGGCGGGCGAAGGAGCCGCCGACAATGCCGAGTGGAAGAAGATGGTGGTGTTGAGCAAGAAGAAGGAGAGCAACAGCGAGGACGAGTTGGAGTACGATCCGTCGCTGTATCCCCAGCGAGTGGGACGCCTGCAGCGCATCGTGGACATCCCGTTCAAGTTCAATGATGGACGCAAGGGTGGCTTCCGCAAGGGGCCGCGTCCAGGAGGACCAGGAGGTCCCCGTGGCGAGGGATTCCGCAGCGATGGACCCCATGGAGAGGGTGGCTATCGCAACGATGGACCGCGCGCAGAAGGTGGCTACCGCAACGATGGACCTCGTGGAGAGGGTGGCTATCGCAACGAGGGTCCTCGCGGCGAGGGTGGCTTCCGTGGTGGCCCGCGCTTCAATTCCGGAGCCGCCACCAACGGTTTCGACAACAGACAGGACAACAACAACAGATTCGGGGAGAAACGCCGCTCCGCCCAGAAGCCCCTGAAGGTCGACGATGAAGCTCAATTCCCCACTCTGTGCTAGGATCAGATCAGCAAGGAACAATAAGGTTTAACAATTTCTGTATTACATAATAAGTAAGCAGCTCCTTTGGTTAACGAATAACCATTAGATTTTCGGCCGTAATCTATGAAGCTTGACGACCGGTTAACAAACAAAAACAAATCAGCCACGCTTATCCATATTCCTTAGTTGTAAACAAAAATTTTTGAATTTTTTCACTCTCATCATTTACGCATTTAAAATAACTATTAAAAATAGTTGGAATGTTGAAATAAATTTACTTCATTTATAAACCAAGGAATATTAATATGGTAATTATTATTACTATTATTCTTTATTTTCGAGACCATCTTTCATTTTTTGAATGAAAACACCTAGTTCGTGGGCAGAATAGGATTTCTTTTTGGCTCTTTTCGGCGGCGGGTGTTCCTTAGAAGATGGCTCCAGATTTGTCTGCAAAATACATAAAATATTTAAGGAACTACAGTTTGTAAAAGTAAGTTTTGCACCTACAAAGTGTCTGTACTCTGGCGAAATGGACTCCAACTGCAGCATTCTGTTTTCAACCTTTTTAATTCTACTAAAAATGTTCTCTTCATTATCGGTGGTTAGGCCCATATATGATTCAATAGCTTGTAAACGTGAGTTAGGCAGCGATTTCCTCATTTCTTTGGATGGGTCGGTTAGCCCGTCACGCGATCCCATTAGTTTATTTAGTTCAAGTTCGTAGTTGGGCCGAAACTCCATTTGCTGGGGACCACAGCGATTGTTTACCCGTCGCACTGTGATAATGTGTTTGTAGCTGTATGAATTGTTTAAAGTTGAAATGCGTTTACCCACCTTTTAAATGGCAATTTGAGTGCTCCTGCTTTATAATTGTGCTTTGCGTTCGAGCGCAGGAATCGCTTAGGTCTTTGTCAGAGTCAACAAAAGATGATTTAAAGTCAATTATGTTTTGTGAGTTTATTTCGGCTCGCTTTCTGTTGACAAAACATTCTAGCCGCTTGGCTAACTCGGTGTCATTTACTCTAATTTGCACCAGAGATCGAGATACGTCATGTGACTCCTCGACTTTGCAGGGACAAGCTGCGTAGTTAAAGGCACTTGGAGACTTCTCTGCAATGTAGCCATAGAGAAAAAGCGTATAAAATTGTTATTGCTTGATTGTTAATTGTATTTACAAGTGTACAAAATAAAGGAATACATGTCACAACGGTTGTTATTCGTTATAGGATCTTACTGGGCCTGAAGGACTCCTTGTTTTCCTTCCACTCGCTAATGTGATCGCCCTCGTATATCTCCTTTTTCCAGATGGGCACCCGAGTCTTAAGCTGGTCTATTGCAAATGATACTGATTCTAGTGCCTCCGATCGATGTGGCGATGAAGTGGCAATAACTACACTGGCCTCGCAAACGGGCACAGTTCCCAATCGGTGATATATGACTATGTGCTTTAACTCGGGCCACTTTAATCGCAGATCTGAGCAGATTTTATTCATTTCCTTAAGAGCCATGTTATCGTAGGCCTCGTACGCCAACGACACTACCTGGAAGGTCAAAGAGTATACACATATGATGAAATATGAAATTGAACTAATTGATTAAGATAGCAAACCCACCTTTTTGCCCTCAAAATTATCACGCGTGGTGCCCACAAAAACCGATGAGGCACCACAGCCCTCATCAGCTAGCAATTGATGGATGTGGGTGATGTCAATGGGATCCTGAACTAGCTTTACGTGATCCATGATTATTTATTATCCTCCACTGAGTGGCGGTACGATGGCCAGTTCGTCTCCCTCTTTGAACAGAATTTTATCACTTAGGTTCTCAATATACGATTCGTTGTGGGCCAAAATCAGGCTACTCCGGATAGAGGTCAGGCCAAATCTGGACACCAGCTGGTCTAGTAAATCGGAGGCAATAATTTCCGCAGGCACATCTACTTTGGATCGGGCTGTATTGGCTAATTCGCGGGATTTGGCAAAGAACAACACGTGCACATTAACAACAGGTCCACTCATATTTACAAATGAAATATTGGAGATGGCAAAGTCGTTATAATTTCCGCCTACTTTCGACTGCAATTTATCGATAGTTTAGATTGTCGGAACAAAATGGAATGGAATTGTCTACAAAGCATGAAACAGCTGATCAAAATTATAAACAATTTGTAATATAATTTAATATTTTGTTCTTATATACAAATTAATTATTTAGCTTTAACATTTTAATCATTTTACATTTGATATTTAACAGTTCTCTACCAGCACTCAGCATCGATAGATTTCCTTTCCAGTTTGTCCATCACTAATTACACCGATATTTAATTTCGCAAGGGGAATACAACTTGTTTTTATTCTTTACTATTTAAGGTTTTTTAACTATCTAGTATAGATAGCTATCTAGCGAATATATATTTATATGATTATTCGTTAACTTAAAGATTTTTCTTTTGATTTACGTGTTGACATTGTCAACTTTTGATCCGGCACAATGAAGACACGTTTCAATACCTTTGATATAATCTGCGGAGTGGCCGAACTGCAAAAGTACGTAATAAATATAATATTAGCAATGTGGCACCTATTTATTTTCTTAATACAGGTTGGTTGGCTGGCGAGTGAACCAGATCTATGACGTGGACAACAAGACCTATCTGTTCCGGATGCAGGGCAGCGGTGGAGCGGTGGAGAAGGTCACTTTGTTGCTAGAGTCTGGCACTCGATTCCATACCACCCGCTTTGAATGGCCCAAAAATATGGCTCCATCGGGATTCAGCATGAAGCTGAGGAAGCACTTGAAGAACAAGCGCCTGGAGAGGATCCAACAATTGGGTGGCGATCGTATTGTGGACTTCCAGTTTGGCACCGGCGATGCCGCCTACCATGTCATTTTGGAGCTCTACGATCGAGGAAACGTCATTCTTACGGATTACGAGATGACCACCCTGTATATTCTGCGTCCCCACACGGAGGGTGAGAATCTTCGCTTTGCCATGCGTGAAAAATATCCCGTGGAACGAGCCAAACAGGCCACGGAGGAACTGCAGCCGGAAGCCCTGGAGAAACTAGTGGAGAACGCCAGAAACGGCGATTACTTGCGGCAGATCCTGACGCCCAATTTGGACTGTGGTCCGGCAGTTATAGAACATATTCTTCTCTCACACGGTCTGGATAATTGTGTGATTAAAAAGGAAGGAGCGGAAGAAACTCCGGAGGCAGAGGATAAGGTGGATAAAGGCGGTAAAAAACAACGCAAGAAGCAACAGAATGCTAAACTGGAACAAAAGCCATTTGATATGGTTAAGGACATGCCCATTCTTAAACAGGCTGTAAAGGTTGGTTTTAAAAATGTTTCTTTGTTTATTACTTCTCCGAAATTATATAAAGTTAAATTACTTTATCAAATTATATATAAACCATTTTTTAAATCATTTTTTCTTTAAACCTTTAGAGCGCACATGATCTTATTGTCGAAGGAAACTCTGGAAAAACTAAAGGCTACATAATTCAAGTGAAAGAGGAGAAGCCTACGGAGAATGGCAAAGTGGAGTTTTTCTTTAGAAACATTGAATTCCATCCTTACCTGTTTGACCAATTCAAAAACTTTGAAAGGGCCACGTTTGAGAGTTTTATGGAAGCAGTCGATGAATTTTACTCAACGCAAGAATCACAGAAAATCGACATGAAAACTCTGCATCAGGAGCGCGAGGCGCTGAAAAAGCTGTCCAATGTTAAAAATGATCACGCCAAGCGTCTGGAGGAATTAACCAAAGTCCAGGATGTGGACAGGAAGAAGGCAGAGCTTATCACGTCCAACCAAAGTCTGGTGGACAACGCCATTCGGGCAGTTCAGTCGGCTATTGCCAGTCAACTATCCTGGCCGGATATCCATGAGCTGGTGAAGGAGGCCCAGGCAAATGGCGATGCTGTGGCCGGTTCCATTAAGCAATTAAAACTGGAAACGAATCATATATCCCTTATGCTAAGCGACCCCTATGATACGTATGAAGACGAGGATCTAAAAACTCCGGAAGTGACCGTTGTGGATGTCGATTTAGCTTTATCAGCTTGGGCCAACGCCCGTCGATATTACGACATGAAACGTTCGGCTGCTCAAAAGGAAAAGAAAACTGTAGATGCCTCTCAAAAAGCCCTAAAATCTGCGGAGCGTAAGACACAGCAAACGCTTAAGGAAGTAAGGACCATTTCGAACATAGTAAAGGCTCGAAAAGTTTTCTGGTTCGAAAAGTTTTACTGGTTTATAAGCTCAGAGAATTATTTGGTTATCGGCGGAAGGGATGCGCAGCAGAATGAGCTTATTGTTAAAAGGTTTGCTATATTTATGACCGAACCCATAACTATTTTTCTAATTTAAATAACAACATTTCAGATATATGCGTCCGAAGGACATTTATGTTCACGCAGAGATTCAGGGTGCCTCGAGTGTTATTATACAGAATCCCACAGGGGAAGATATTCCGCCAAAAACTTTGCTAGAAGCTGGATCTATGGCTATATCATACAGCGTTGCCTGGGATGCCAAGGTGGTGACCAATTCGTATTGGGTGACAAGCGACCAGGTCAGCAAAACAGCCCCAACTGGAGAGTATTTGGCAACCGGAAGCTTTATGATCAGAGGGAAGAAGAACTTTCTACCCTCCTGCCACCTAACCATGGGTCTAAGTTTACTTTTCAAGTTGGAGGACAGTTTTATAGAGCGTCATTTGGGAGAGCGAAAGGTCAGAAGCTTAGATGATGATCATATCGATCAAGATGTTAAAGAAACCGAGGTCGAACATGACCTTTTGTCCGAACCAAGCGATGATACTGAAACCAATCCTACTGCAAATGTATCGGAACAAAGTTCCAATACCGAGATTACTGGTTTTCCCAATACGGAAGTAAAAATTGAACACGATACGGGTCGCATAACAGTCCGATCTGACTCTTTAAATCCAGACAACGAAGAGACTGAAGATGTTGTCCCAAAACAACCAAGTAAACCTGTGGATGAGGAAACGACGATTATTTTTGCTGGTCCAAGTCGAAAAAAGCAAGTTAGTGCTAAAAAGACTAAAGAAGAGAAGGCGCGAGCTGCAAAACAGGAGGCTGCAAGACAGGAAGTCGCTCCCGTTGAAACAGATCCCAAAAATCCATCACAGATAAAGAGAGGTCAGAAGGGAAAATTGAAGAAAATGAAACAAAAATACAAAGATCAAGACGACGAGGAACGTGAAATTCGCATGATGATTCTTAAGTCTTCTGGAAAGGAGAAGGAGAAGCCCCAAGCCATTGCCGAAAAAGTGGTGGAAAAATCTGTATCAATTAAGGAGTTTGTAAAGCCAGAAAAAAGTTCAGCTCCCAAAAACCCAGTTGACTTGGAGGATGCCGATGAAGTGCCCGTTGGAGGAGATGTGGATGTACTCAACAGTCTAACAGGTCAGCCACTTGAAGGGGATGAGTTGCTGTTCGCTATTCCAGTGGTGGCTCCCTATCAGGCTTTGCAAAACTACAAGTAAGAAATAATATATCATTAGTATTTGGGTTTTGAGATAACAATTTTCCTTAATGATATATTTTTTAAACAAAACTTATTCTGTCTTTTAGGTTTAAAGTAAAGCTCACCCCAGGCACTGGTAAAAGAGGAAAGGCTGCGAAATTAGCTCTTAACATCTTTGCCAAGGAAAAAGGCTGCAGTACTCGCGAAAAGGATTTACTGAAAAGTATAAAGGAAGAATCGCTGGCAAGAAACATACCAGGAAAGGTCAAGCTATCAGCCCCACAACTTCAAAAGTACCACAAATAAAAAAAAGTGAATTAAATGTATACATAATGTTGAGCCATATTTATAAGAAGTGTTTAAAATGCTTTAAAAAATGCAAGTTGATTAAATAAAAGAAAATGTATACAGAATTTTTAATTTTTCCTTACCAAAAGCGCAAAATATTGATTTCAGAAAAAGTCAAGTAACTTAATAATTAATATGTAGACATAATGTTGAGCCATATTTATAAATGTGGAAAATGCTTAAAAAATTTGCATTTGAATGAAAGAGAGCCCATAGTAAACTGAAAATGTTTTATGTTGATTTAAGACATAAATTAAGTTTAAGTTTAAGCTTGTGTTCTGAGTTCTGGCTCTTTAGAATTTAAATTATTGTATTGAGCTCTGAATCTTGTCGATTTAAGTTTGTGTTCTGAGTTCTTATCAAAAAGCGGTAGATATTGATTTTGTTAACGGTTGAAACGGACTGCTATCGATAGTCTTGTTGCTGGGCGAACTTTATAAGCAGAGATTTTGGGGCGCATGCGCCTCATATGGAGCCCGAGTTTGCATGTGTTTGTTTACTTCGGTTGGCTGTGTTCAAAAGTGGTGTTGTATAAGTAGATATTTTGGTGCTAAGTCGCCTGTTTTGGCATTTTGTGTACTAAAAAGTTTCGCGAACTTCTCGTCATCGTTCGATACATGGCATCGCTTAAGTAAAAAAATCTACATTTCGCCATTGCCGATATAGAAATGAAAAAATAAATTCATCGGATTACGAAGCTGGCTCCCCGCAACAAAAGACAATACAGCGGAAAATGTATCTTTCGGGGAAAATCTGTGTAACACAGTTTTTCAAAGCCATCCATTTTAGTGCACTAGAGGCTTTTGCAGAAATGTAGATACATTTAACCAGATTTGGAGTGCTTTCTAACCCAAAAAAAAATCATTGAGAAAAAATAATATTGAATTGGAGAGGCTATGGTTCGGTGAAAAACTATGGCCTTCAAAGTCCCACCCAGTTAGAAGGATATGTGCGTGTGTGTCAGCAAGTGTGTGTGTATGCATACATCTGAAGACATGTATTGATTAAGAGCTGAGGACTTTTTTCCCTTAACCATGTGAACAAAAAAATTAACATATAGTGTTGACGTGCCTCCAATTATAAAATTAAAGTTATGCCCGTGCTGACATACATACTTCCATGCACCAGAACTAGCATGACGCACATAAAAGTACCTTTATTCGTGCGTTCAGATGTTCGTGTAGGTATGTACGGGCATGTGTGTATACAGCACATACCCTCCATTGCACCTGCTCCAAAAATCAAATATCAGAATATTAATTTAATAAATTTATTCAAATTCCTGTCTAATCACCAAAAAGTATTTAACTCGATCCAATTTCATATTAGATTGCGTGTTTCCTTTACACTTTTAGATGTATTCTTGTCATTGTCTTGTCATGTTTTTATTAATCACCAGAAACTCACTAGTTTAATAGTGCTTAAAAAATCTTATGTACTTACAAAATCAAAGATAAAAAGCCCGTTGTAAATGCTGGGAAAAGCAATTATCAGATTTCTGTAATAGTATAACCCATGTAGCAAAATTCCGGCCTAGTTATTAAAAAGTATTCCTATTTGTCATATTTCCATATTTCCCATTAATGACTAGATCTTAATTTATTTTCTATTATAAATTTATAAATTACGAGAGATGGCTATTTTAAAATTTTCTTTAAAATACCAACAAAATGTAACAACCAAATGTATTAAGATCTATTTAAATTTCAGTAAGGCAATTAAAAACAAGAGATTTTGTTAACGATGGAACTTTGTAAACCAATCACAACTGCCAGATAAAATGAGGGCCATCCTGATTGCTCAAGCGAATCCCAAAAAGGCGTTGACAGTAATTAAGCATATTTGTTAGCAGCTGATCAACTTAAAAACACGGTAAGATTATATAAAATTGGAATGAATATTTAATAGTGATTAGTTGTTAAAAAAAATTTTAAATCTTTAAGCCCAGTATTCAAGCTATAATAACAAGTTATTGGTGGGGGAATACGTTTGTTTTGAGAACGATTTTGTTGGCTTTATCACTTATTGCTTACAAATAGTTTATTTATAAAGTTAAAGTTTAAAAAGCCAATTTAAATCAATAACATTTATGTTTCGCTTTTCAAGAATATGGAGCCAAATCATTATTACTGCCGGAGCGCCTTGCAGCAGACTTCCTCGACTTCGATGCCACAGCATTCGTCGAACAAACTCAACTATGCGTTGAACGCGGGGCAGGAATATGTGGCCTGTAGCTCCGGCCAATCGCAGACGGGGTACAACTCCAAGGATCTGGTGCCGCGCAACGGGAACAGTGGCAAGTCGCTCGGTGGCAATGGCAATGGCAATTTGGGAAGTCCGTATGGAGGATCCGTCTGCAGCAACAGTGGCCAATGCAGCAAAAATACTGCCAACGCTGGGAACTATATCAACATAATGACTGTTCCATTGGGAACATTGCAGTATAATCGAAAAAAGCTATCTACTCAAGACTACGAGTGAGTGTTATCATATGTGTGGATATGCTACAAAAATCACATGTTATAAAGGTGTCTAAAAGTATGCACCAGTACATTTTTATTCGTTCAATGTATTTCGAAAGACGACATTAGCTTTTTAGTGCATACTTTTGAACACCTTTTGAATTGATTTCTGTGGCACACCACATTATTTAAAGAACATTTACTATTTTGTTTTACTTAATTATATTTCAGATCGCATTTATATTACAACACCACGGATGTCAAGTGTCGCGATGATTACTATATAGCCAATAATGCCGCAGCAGCAGCAATACCGCAACAGCAACACCTGCACCAGCAGCAACATCAGCACCAACAGCAACATCAACAACACCAACAGCAACATCAACAACACCAGCACCAGCACCAACACCAACAGCAGTCGCAGCAGCAACATCAGCAACACCAGCAGCATCAGCAACACCAGCAACACCAGCAACACCAGCAACATCAGCAACATCTGCAGCAACAGGCCAACTTTCTCCACATCCAGCAATCGCTGCAGCATAACCACCAGCTGAGCCACCCAGAACCAATCCATCAGATGCCCCAAATGCAGAGTTCGGTGGCCGATCCACCAGATGCTTTCGACAACTGTGCGATCTTCCCGAGCGCCGGAGGCAGTGGAAGCGCAAGTGGAAGTGGACGCGTGGCAGCCACACAAACCCATCAGAATAACTCCAGTGTGGTCACGTGTGACCAGCAGCAGGTACCCGTCTCCTTGGGATCCGTCAATATGCCCGTGCCCCCCATTATGTACACAGTGCACCGTGTGGTGACCACGGCCCAGATCCAAACGGCAGTGGGCAGCACCTTCGCCTCCTCGGCCAGTGTGTCCAGTGTGGTCAGCACGGGTCAGAACGACCCTGGCGACTGCCTGTCGCCGGCACAGGTGTCTTCCGGGAATGCCCCCTGCCTGGGCGGAATATCCGATATGGGCGCCAATATGATGAACAACGCAAGTGCACTTTGTCCCCTTTCCGACCTGAGAAGCCCTTCCGGTAAGACTACTTTCATTGATTTTCTTTCCCAGCACTTTTCCCATCAATTTTTATGAAATCGAAGCATTCTTGTTATTTATTTATCTGTTTGCTTAATTTAACATTCTTTTAATATTTGTGCTTGTCACAACTACAGATAAAAATAAAGCTAGTTTAAAAATTTAAATATTTTGAGATTAATACACAGCTATTACATAGGCTTTGTAAAATTATTATAATGGATAACCTTTTTTTTTAAGTTAAAGATTATACATTTTTTATAATATAATATTGTTTTATGGAAGTTTATTCCAAGGGCTGTTAGCAAAGATAAAGTAATCTGATAATCTTCATCACTTTGAGAAAAAGTATAATATATTATTCTTTTATTATGGCTGTTTTATAAATGTTTTACCACTTCCAGTTAAAATATTGATATTTGGCTATTATTATTTTTATATATTTTCTAGGAGTGCTCACCAATTCCTCATTCATGCCACAACACCACAAATGCAACAATGGCAACGATGGCCAAACCAACAACCCTACAATCCAAAAACGCATAATGGCGACCAGCTCAACTTCGAATTTCGCAAATGCTGGGAAAGCTGCAGCCAATCTAACCCGTGCTCTCCAAAATGTAAAACTTAACTTTATTTATAACACAACCGTAACATATTCAAATGTTAATTAATTTCTAGGTAATCCCGACATGCGTGTATCTTATGTCTCGGGTGGCAGTTCACATGGAGATCGAGGGAACGTCCCAGTGCCCATCGCAGGTGATGTTGGCAGCTGCTTTGGGCTGCGAGGAGCTGGGCATATCCAACAAATTGCTGGCTCAGAGCGTTTTCGGATTGTGGATGACAAGTGCTTTACTGGAGATGCAGCTGAAGGCCCATCACTGCCCCTATATTGTGCGCGTTGCGTGGCCCAGTTTGCTGCAAAAGTTCAGCAACAGCAGTCCCAGCGATCGGAAGTTTGATGAACCCATGATAGTACTAAAGCGGAACGTTTTCTTCTCCAAAAGAGATGAGGAAAAAATTAAGTAAATATTTATAATATTTTGAATGCTAAAAAACAGATATAAATTGCATACACCATTTCCAGGGATCATCGAATTTTAGAGCTGCTTTATGAAGAGGCCAGAAACAATGTGCTCACAGGCAGATATATTATGGAGCCAGTCCATTCGCTCATGCTGGGTGGCATTCAAGCTAGAATCGAACTGGGTCCATATAATTCCCACACCCATACAATAGGTTTTTTTAGGTAAGTCAATCTTTGTTTATAAAATTATATTTGTTTACACCTTTTTTTTAAACTTTCTAGGGAAAATCAAGCTCGGTTTTTGCCACCACATGTTGCCAAGAGCTCAACTTGGTTATGGTTACCAATAAGTCAAAAGAATTCTGCGGAGGTCAAGCTGTTGGAACAGTTTAAAAGGGTTCCGCAGACAGCTACCACCCGGAAATTGATGCGAAAATATCTAGAATTTTGCTGGGCCTTACCTTTCTATGGGTAAGTTTACCTTGATTAATTACCTTGATTAATGATTAATTTTTAAAATTATTATTGTTTTATATTCGCTTAGTGCCGCATATTTCCATGGACAAATAGAGCAACCTGTTAGGGGAATTATGGCCTTGGTCAACCAAAAGGATATGGAGGTTTTAGTTGCAGTTAATGAGAAAGGAGTTTTTATAATAGATCCATATGAATGCGTAAGTATTACTATTAGTTTGAGTGTTCTTAAAATCAATTATAAAAAAAAACCTGTTTCTCATCAGACTCTCCTGCTGGGCTTGCGATACGAGGATTTGTCTTGGGATTATGCAAAGCCAAGTGCAAGTGATGATCCCGAATGCCTCACTTGTATATTTCTACAGGTATTTGGGTTTTTGTGCTCGTTAAAAAAAAAAACTAAATGGAAATATTTTGCAGTTCGATGCTGTCGAGAATGGAATACAAGTTTCAAAACTTATGCAAATATTTTCAAAGCAAGCTGCCATGATAGACGCACTTATATCACATTTTACGGATCAAATAAGAAACAAAAAGCAAGAGGGTAACACTCAAGAACCTTTTCACGATGGTAAGCAATATTTTCATATTTATTGTTAAAATTAAACTTATTGAATTGTATAATTATTCTATATTTAGAGCCAAATCCTATTCAAAATAATGGAAATGGAGTGTTATGCAATAAGCTGTCTCGATTGACTTTGGCCACTTTCGACGAAGAGGGAGGTCGTTGTATTGGGCAAATGGGATCATTATCTATAAGCTATTAAGATCTGTTACTAACGATAAAATAAATTTAAGTTAAGGGGTGTTAAATAAAAGTTCACGCATGTATTCACGATTGTTGATCAATTCCCATAAATATACTCACAAATAAATTTTTAGCAAACGGAATCTACATATTCACAGTCATTCCATTAAATGTAAAAGTTTTCTAATTTCACTTAAACGCAAATTCAGTGATCAATTCCACAAATTTTAATGAGTTAAGTTATAGATTTACACTTATTAATTGATTTTTTGTTGAATGCACTTAATTGACTACCGAAGAATTAATTAATTAATGCAACCATTTAAAATTAAATTTCTTTTTCAATACCATGCACTTGTTTTTGGCTGTTTGCTTTCAAAAAATGCATACCTCGAGTAATTGTTAGTTTCTATTTCAAAAACTGGCTCGGATTCAACTGTTTACAATTAATGCAAGTTATTACCAAAAAATGCCCCCGAATAGTTATCTCTTTTTATTTAACTTTAATATAAGGCATGTAGTATATATTAAGATATATAAAATATCGATATGTGCATTTGACGTATGCGTTCAGAATTAGTTTAATAAGCCTTCGACTGAAACAAATTATGTATATAATAAAAATAAAATGTATGTACAAAAGTAAGGGCTAACTGCCAACATAGGTTATGTATATATTTAAATTTGTATGTATGTATAAATTGAGACTTAAAATAAATACCGTTTCCTCATATTTATACAGAAAGTACTTATAAAATTACAGAAATTTGATTTTCAATTTTAAAATTGCACAAAATGTTGTTTTTAAATTTTGTTGTTTATTTTAGAAACACAATGTTTTAAAGCATTAGTTTATTAAATCCACCAAGCCTTACTAATCAATAGATTGCATTTTAACCCGCTTGCAAAACTTCTGTAACCTTTGATTTGTTGAGTAGGTCCCTTTTTGTTAACTTACAATTAACACATTTTAAAATAATTTTTGGTGACAATTAAAAATGAAATAAAAATGGTTTAATAATATATAATGATATAGTTATAATATGCAGCAACACAGAAATTAATCAATACATGTAGGTGTAATCTAATAAATTATAGTTAATAGAAAATTTATTTAAATATGTGTAAATCAAACAAAAATACTAAAGGCTACCTACTTTCTAAAATGTGTCTTTTAATAACACAATAAAAAAAGTATTAAAAAAACAAGGAAAGGGCTTATGTTTCTTGGATGTGTTCACGAATACCAATGGTGGTAAGTACGATTACCTACCATTTACATTTCGATAGTGAAAAATGATTTTTATATATTTAACATCGATTAGTTTTGCTTTGCTTTATTGTTATTATTTTTTTTATATATTAATGATCAATGGCGGTTTGACGTTTGTTTTTTTTTTTTGGAAGAAAGCTTTCTCTACAGTTGTTCTGATGTTGTAATTTCTCCTCAAACGGAAAGCTTTTTTAGTTTTGGTATAGCGAATATCAGTTGACCACGCAGTCGCCTAACAAATTAAAATTTATTTAAATAATTTACATATTTGCTCTAAAAAACACTGGGAATTCTTAAAATACATATATAATTTATTTTAATAACAAGTGGCCAAGGTTGTGTTGAAAGCATTAAAGAAATGTGTTAATACACTCAGTTGCGGTGAAAATAGAACAACATTATAAATAGCAATTTTAAAATTGCATTCAAACCTTTTATTTGCCCTTATAAAAACTTTTTAATATTGTAATGACAGCAATATACGTAAGTCTGCATATTCAAGTGAATTTCACATCATTTTCGGCTGTTGGAAAATTAATATTTTATAGTGTGTGAATTAAGTTCCGTACAAATTGTCTATTAGGTGGCATTTTTATAAGAAAAACCACCAAACAAAAATCTTATATACATTATAAGCTTGCTCAAATAATTTGTTTTAAAAATGCTTACTGGCTTTTCATTAATCTGAGCCAAAGTAAAAGAAATCTTTAAAAACAAAGGACCTATGTAGAAATGGTAAGTTTACTTTATTTTATTATTATTTATTTTTTCAATTTTTTAAATTTTTTAAACACATGTTTAAGTAAACAAAATTTTTATTTTAATGGTTAATTACTACTTTATTAAAATGATTTGTCTATTAACCAAAGAAAGTCTTAGAGAGTTTGATTCGATGCAATTGCAAAGATAAAAAGTCTGTCAGACAAAGCAACAAAAATAGACTTTGCAATCAACGCTGTGTCAAATAAAATTACTACTTCCTTATTTATTTATTTATTTTAATAATTCTAAAATTGATTGAGTTGCTTGAGTTTAATTTATTAGAGTTTGATACGCCGAATTATTAATTGCTACTATTCCATAGATTAGACCTAAAAATTGTTTATTAAAAAGAGATCAATTTCACAGATGGATAGTACATTTGATTTTTTTTTTAGATAGATTTTTGTACAACAGTTTGATCATAGTTTAGAATTACAAATATGGGTGTTGAAATTGGATAAAATACAAAAACATTTACCATAAATAAGGCGGAACGAATGAGTGCAAATACGCAGATGGCCATCGCAAATAGTTCAGAGTGAAATGCTGTTATTGTTGGATTTTCGTTGTTAGTATATTCGCGACCCAAAAGTGCAGCCAGGTCCACGGCCACGTCCGTATCAGATCCGCTCACGCACATGCGAGAAGGTTTGGCCAAACACACACTCTTGCATCGGAGAACCCAATGTTTATGGGAGGTAAATAACTGGTTTTTATATAAACACAAGGAGACAATTTGGAAATGTGCATCGTACACAGTAAAAAGCTACCAATACAGACACATGCAATCCGCGAAGAGGGAAGGATAACACGCGCTCTGTCCATGTCCCGTTAAGAGAGGGCTACGACTTCCCGCAGAGAACAGCGAATTCGGTGGAAAGAGAGATAAGGAGCGAACGGGACATGAGTAACAAGTTGTTGCGCCGGTGGTGGTGATGGTGGTGGTGTTGGAGAGACAAAGAGAGAGTAGAGCCTTTCTCCATTGGCTGGAATAGCCGTCCAGCGCTCTCTTCGCCGCAAAATCATCGGCTCATCTCGGCGGTTCGCAGTTCGCAGTTCGCAGTTCGCAGCTCGCCTTCGCGAAATCGGATTCACAATCAAATCCTTTTGCGAGTTCGAGGAGTGCACACCGGTGGTCGCATCCGCATCCGCATTCGCAGCCGCATTCGCAACCGAAATCCGCGCTTCAATCTAGACCATAGTACCATCATGGATATCTCCGCCTACCAGCACATGAACATCCGGATGAGCACGCGAGGCAAGCGTCCGCTGAGGAATCTCACGCCAAACGATAAGGTGCGCGCCATACAGCGCATACACAACGGGGAAACGAAGGCCAGTGTTTCGCGGGATATCGGAGTGCCAGAGTCCACTTTACGGGGCTGGTGCAAGAATGAGCAAAAGCTGAGGTTTATGTGCCGCCAGCTGGGTCCCGATCATTTGGGCCTCGATACTCCTCCAGAAAAACGCGCCAAGTTCGAATTGCAGCTGCAACTGCCGCCAAAGTTTGTGGCCCTGCCTCCAAATTACGAGGAGCTGGGCTTCGGTGCACTGCCCTACTCTCCTGCCGATTATCCAGTTCAGGGGGAGTCCTTGCTGGAGAAGCTTAGTCTGGTGGAATTTGTCAAAAAGAATGGAGGACTGCATCCGGAGGCAATGCATCCCGGTCAGTCCGGTGTGGTGGATTACTCCAATAACATGCTGCACCAGCTGAACCTTCTCGCCTTGCTCAACTCCAAGCTTACACCCCCAAATGCAGAGGTCCCATTGTTGGATGCACCCAAATCGGAGGACAACAAAGTGGTTGATTCGCCAGCAACTTCAGAGGATTACAGCAAGAGCACTTATCCCCTGCTGAGTGTCAAGAACTGGGCCAAGGACCCGGCCAAACGGGTGAATCTTGACAATCAGCCGGAGCCAGTTAATGATAAGAACAATAATGCTCTGGATGGACAACAGGTTTTGGGCACGGAGCAGTCAGCCAAGTCAGGGATTTTCCCGGACACCACCACCATGCCACAGCTACTGCCAGCCCCCAGCTTCCCCAATCCCGCGGAAATAGCGCCTGTGATAGCACCTACGGGTAACTCCACCACTCCAAATGGAACTGAAGGCCAGGGAGGAGCTGCCCTGCTGGACTGGTGCAAACTCTTTAATGCCAGTCTGAACTTTTTGGCCTTTGCAGCCGCGGCAGCATCCATGCAACCCGGCGGCGGAGGAAGTGCCCCCAGCATCAGCTACAACCCCAACCAACTGGGTGCAACTGGAGGCTCAGAGCCTGATCTAGAGACATATCCATTTAACGAAGGCCTGCTGAAACGCCTCAGTCCGTTGGCCCACAGTGAGGCCTCCAACGAAAGTTACTGTGACAGCGAACCGGAGGATCTGTCCGTACGATCCTGCGCCTCTAAGGCCTCCAGCAGATCCCACACCCCAGACAAGAGCATCGGATCCAGCGATGCCGAACAGTAGACCCCTTAGACACTCTAGTTTCATAGTTCATAGTGTAAATACCTCCATTTTTAATTGTTAATAGATAACATACCTTTAGTATTTTTAGGACAACAATAACAACACGAATCATTTCGCAATGCAAATGCCATTTGTACTTATCAATTAACAATGTATGTTAATATCAATGCAACAGGTATTAATAGATCAGCTTACTATAGCCTAGTATTAACTAGAAATATCGACTGTGTGACCACTTGTTTGAAAACCAAATTCAATTCATCTACACTTATAATAACAAATACTAATTGTGTTAAGTAGCTTAATTATTTGGCACGTTCGTCAGCCATTCCAATTGATTTGTTTTCGTACTGCTGTAATCTCCGTAACTCTTAATAAGAATATAAACTAATTACTAATTAAACGAATAAATATTTATTAACAAAACAAAAATAAAATTTAAAGTGTCAATCTCCCAAGATTAAAAAATGCATTTGTTTATTTAATGGGGTTTTAACTTGAAGTATTTGAGATGAAATATAATGACTTTGGTGGAAAAAACCGGAAAAAACACACGCCAGCTAAAAGATGAATAGCCCCTCGGTTGTATACTTTTTTTCTATACCCTTGAAAAACTTACAAAAAAAAAAAGGAATTTTCAATTAGTCAAGAGTTCTAGCTTTGGTCGTATAAAAATGACAAAATTGGCTGTTTTTATACAACATTTTTTTTAAGTGCCATTCAATTGGGACTTAAAAAAGGACGTTTCACATTTATTGTTTTTAATTCGGTTGCAGTACTGCAGAGTACCATTGGGTTGGAATACTTGTCCCAAAATCAATCTTATGACAGCCTTAAAAATTATTCGTTAAAAAACAAATGGTATTTCCTATCATACCGTGTTCAGAAGTTAAACAAAAATAAATATATAAACACGATAATGGAATAAATCATTAAAATTATTTTTTAATAACTAACTTTTAAAATAACTATATACATTCAAATATAAATATATAGTTAAGTTTGAAAAATAACTGAATAAATCTGACTATATATTTTTCTGAGGACTAAACATTTAAAAGCTCGACTTCTTATGTTTTATTATTTAAAAAATGCCGACGGTAAATAAATTGTTTTATTTGAATTGTTTTAATATAATTTTATGAATTTGTTTTAAGACTCAAATCAAGTTTATTGCCTACAATATGAAATTTAAAAATTGTTTAATTTTAAAAACTATGCAGACTGCATGCTTGACAGTTTTTTCATCTGACTTGTCAAAAGGCGTTTTGAAAAAATGACCAAGATCATTTTTAGTGGCCTGGATGGAGGTCAGCAGTCTGAGTTGGAGTCCTGGCATCAGGGCTATGCGTTAATGAGTTTCTCCACCCTTTGGAAAGCGTTGTCAGAGGCATCGGTCAAGTCGAACACGATAAAAATGGCACCAACAAGCAGCAAACAGCAAACCAAACTATAGCAAAACCGCCACGGACGGCAGCAGTGGCATGAAGACGAATTATTGGTTCGCCTTTTGGAAAAATTAAATATCGCGTGTTGGTAATTTCCGCTTGGCTTCCCATTGCCGCTGCTGCCATCGGCTGAAGTTGAGGCGAATTATTACGATGATTAGGCGACTGACAGTGCTCCCAGGCATCGGGATCGACCGACCAGGCATCCACATCCACATCCATGTCGACCATTTCGACCATCGACCACTGGACAATCGACCATCGACCATCCGGCCTGCCAGCCGTGATCCGTATGCATGTTTCGGTATATTCGCATTTTCGCATTTCGCATTTCGCATTGCATGTGCGGTGTTCTGCGTTCAGCGTTTTGTGGACATCTTCGTGGCATTCGGGGTTCTGGTTCTGGGCGAGGATTAAATTACTTAAAACCAATCCCCCCCTGGGCATATCGACGGATCCAGCCGCTGTCAATATTGTGTCGCCTCGTAGCCTCGTAACCCGCACGATCGAAGTAGGGGATCGCGGTACTAAGATCGGCATACAAGTGCCCAAAATAAGTGGCCAATACCCATACTCATGCAGCCTCGTATTTTGTTTCCTCAGGAGATATTGCTGTACTGTACTGTATGCCCCAACTGCAGATAAATCTATAGGGTTTCTTTTGGAAGCTGTAAAAAGCATAGTATCCTAATAAAATATCATCAATTTTATTTAACAACTAACATATTTAAATTTACTGCTAAGCATTTTCAAATGACACACCCAAAGTTAAATACTTTCAGTGAATGGAAAAATGGAATATAAGAATATTTGTTTCAATGTAATGTTGTATTATATTATTTTAATTGAAAATAGAAAATAGGTAGCTTATTACAGTTTATACATAATAAATAAAAGAAATAATAATATAGGCACTTTAATTTCAATGTAACTTTAAGAAACATGTTGTCTTTTGTATTGAATTGTATTTTATTTTAATCATTAAAAATATATATAGTACCATTAAGTGTTTTATTTATTTCCTATTTTATGTTCTTGTATAATTAAATTCTCTTTATGTTACTTTAATTAGTTAAATCACTTCCAAACATTTGTCTTTTTACTGATACAAATGTTTAGTTCAAATGTCGATGTTGTTTATGTAAGCCAGATAATAAACTTTAACCATAAAGCAATGTAAATATGCAGATATATGTTTGTTTTATTTTAAGGAGTATCTTAAATATAAGATTTTAAAACATCAATTTTAACTTGGCATGGGTATACAAATAAGTTCAATGTACTGAAGTGCCGAAATAAAAACGCAGAATGACTGACATACTTGCAGCATATGATTGACAGTGGAAACGGCTTCGAAATTACCCAACCAACGTTGGGAAATAAATGATGGAGCTGCCAATATCGAGACCACATCCGCACCGGTGGCGGATGGCTTGGGCGTTCATAGATGGCGAGGAATTTGCGTGAGCTAAATGCGGATCTCATTCAACAGTTTTTGGAATGCTGCCCAGTCAACGCAAGGATATACATTATATTTTGAAACTTTACAACAGGATTGTGCATATATGCATTTTTTGATGCCCGCCTAAAGCCCATGTACCTTGAAGTCAATTTATTTGCTTTCTTATCCCCTCTCGTTTGAATAATTGGCTACCAAGTTACCTTTACGAGATCGAAGCGAGACCTACTGCATTTTGCGTGTTCAGGCTTTTTCGGAATCGCATTCGCATTCTCGGTTTCGTTCTCTAGCATGCCTCAATTACAATCAGATTAGTTGCATGTGAGCAGGAACCCTTTGATGGAAAACGATCGCGCCAGATTAAGTCGCGAACTGAACAGAGGACTTAGGACTGAGGATTGAGGCTAAGACTGAGACTGACCATTCTACTGACCATTCTTTTCTGGCATCCGGCTGCACTAACTCGCACGAATATCAGCGGCCAGGAACTGTGGATCAATTGAAGTGACCATCAGACTACTCACTGTGCTTTGGAGATCCACTAAACGTGTGCCCCCAATTTGACCAACGAAAAAGAAAATATATTCGTGGGCCTATCGATTGCTTGAGATCCTAAAAGAATAAATTATAATTGGAAAGAAGATAGTATGCCCTCAATTAAATTGAAATTAAATATTTTGTGTACTTTGCTTATAACAGCATTCCTTTTAATAGTTATAAAATTGAAAGTAATTGAATGCAAATAACATTTAAAGCGAGGTGTCGCAAAATAAAGTTTTTAATGTTATTTTATATTGGAATTTGTGTGTTAGATAGATATCTTTCACTGACTCATTGGTTATTGCTTGTGTTATCTACTTGTTTGCTTCGTGTAACATACTTTTTTCAAAAAACAAATCGTCTTTAAAATTATGGGATAACAGATTAAACAAAATGTGTTGCGAAATTTAGTTTTATATATTTTCTTTCAATTGGTTTTTAAATTACATTAGTGTGTAATATGTGTTTTTTGCACTGGTTCTAAAATGCATTATTTAATTTTTAAAAATACATCATTTTGGATAGATTATTAATAATTAAAATAGTATTATACTAAACGGATTTATATTACTGTTTTTTGAAATTTTGTTTATATTTGTTTTGGGGGTATTCTTATCGAATTAAAGGCAAATCACAATCCAGTCAAATTTTCTCTTGTCCTTAATAAATACGTTGCACAATAAAATGTAGGCTCTGCATTGTAAATTACTTTTGTCTTTTCATTCCGTTGGATTGTATTTTGCAAGCCTAGTAAATAACTAACAAAGATTTGTGTGCTTTTGTGCAAGTATTGCGCTTCACAGATGCTGCATAATTTTGACTTGGGATGATGATGAACACAACTTTTGATATAAATTGCAATTTATTGTGTCTTTTGGAAAAAAAAGTGTTTTTGTTTCAATAGTTCCTTTTTGCTCCCTGTACTGTGCATTGTTCTTCTTTTGTCCTTGTGAACGAAACATCAAAGCTGAATCGGAGACTTTGTCATCAGCCTTTCCTTTTGCCATGTTGTTTTACTAACCGGTTCGCGTTCAGGCGACATTCTTGCAAAATTATGGTTTAAAAGTTAACGTACTTAGAAAATGTTTTTGTTAGTACAATTTAAATTTTTGATCTACGATTAAAGACACTTAAGACAATTGATTTATATACAAATGACTTTAAGATACATATAAATAGTTAAGTTCTTCTTCTGAATACAAATTTATATAAGCATAATTTTATTTTACCAATTTACTAATAAATATTGTCCTTTTTTATTAGACGAACATAGAAAATGTTTTTGTTATTATAATTTAAATTTTTAATCTACGATTAAGGGTGCCACTTAACACTTTACTTACAAATGTTTATAAAATCAATACAAGTAGCTAAGTTTGTATTCTGAATTCAATGAACTATTTAGTTTTGTTCAATTGCCAAGGAATTGAAGCTTTTGTATTGCCCATGCGGATGATTAGTAATAAAGTGTAATCTTAATCCCCAAAGCAGTTAAATTAATCGGAAATCTTGAATTTATTAGTCAACTGTGAAATTCGAAATGAGGCGAAAGTTTTGCTGTCCCGTTTGTTCAAGAAATTATCATGATTAGTACAATATTTTGATTGCTACCTGAAGGATGTTGTGAAGGCATTCTCAGAAATGCCACTGCATTTACCACAGCAACTTATCGCAACCACGATATGAACAGCCGGAAGGGTATTTATATTCATCCCCTTTGATTAGCGCGTGCAAGTCAGAAAATAAAGGATTCTCCGTTCTGTTCGGTTGTGTGGACCGATGTCATCCTGAGAAAGGACATCCTAATGAATATGTCATTGTGCGCGATAAAGTTTTCACTTTATTGTCAGAATTGTCTCGTTATTAACACGAGTTGAGTTGATCAAACGTGGAATGTGCGGTGATAAGAGGCTTAGGTGTTTGGATGGCCAAAGGATTCCCAAGGAGAGCGAATTGGCATTCGCATTGTTTTCAAGGGACATCCAGCTACTTGATTTCAAAAAC